ATCCGATGAATTAGAGACGACACTACCTAGGTATATAGAGAGCTTCTGGCCAAGATCTTAATGGGTAGCTACTGTTCTACCCGAGAGGCTGATATGCAACACGAGGACGTCCGACGGTCCTCGAGGGGCCCAGGCCAAAATTACGGTTGGTCATCTTATTCTCACGCTCCTTAATCACCAGGTAGAAATGTATGGGCGTGGTGTGTTGCATGTTTAGTTGTTCTAGTAAGGGATACACGGAGTGTTTGGCTAGTTCCTCGTCTGCTCGTTGACTGCCTCGGAACTACGAGCTATCTGCTAGTCTCTTATAAATACGGGACATCAGATTATCAACTGACGACCCTCTTTCTTCCAGAACTTACATCATTCTAACATAGCCGGGGGTGTTGTGGTGGCAGAGCCAGGCACGCGGGAAGGTTACATGTGACCTGTCACATGACCAACCCTGGCCGGCATGAGGCGGGATACAGCGGGAAGAGACCGGAATGGCACTTCCGTAGAGGGCTAGGGCGCGGTGGTGGCTGGGGCGGCCTCGAGGCCCAACCCCAACAATGTCCTCACCGCAGTAGAGGCTGAGAACAGACAGACAAGACGTGCCAAACGCTGCGGCCACCACCGCCGCCATCGCCAATCCTTCCGATTTCGATATCACACCCCCTTATGCCGCGGAGGAGAGCAGTCTGAGGATGGTCCTATCATGCTAATTTGTCGGGCGATGAGAGCGACAACGACCGTAAGCTGGCTAATACCGAGCTAGTTGGATCGGGTGACGACCAGCAAGTCCTTGGTGTTGTATATTGGTTGAATGAACGGAATGACTGGGTATCGAGCTGTGTTGTCTGATATACAGTGTTTTTGTACCACGTCGAAACCTGAGTGCCAGAGTGAGTGGATGGACGGGAGAGAGCATCTTAAGCTGCGTACAAGAGCTGCAGAATCCTTCCTCATTCTCGAATTGGATCACTGCGGGCGACTGACGGCATTCGTGACAAGAAGCTTGACCTCGTAAGTTCTTCCGTATCCTGTAACGTTACATAGAGAAAATAATACTAACGCAGCTCGTATAAATAGTTTAGGGGGTATACAAACCCATTCAGCCAGTCTTCAATCTGCTTTAAGTCTCTTTCGGCATTCGCCATTGCGCTAGGGCCCTAGCGCCACTGTGGGAAACGGCCGCCTGTTCGATCTGTTTGGATTTCACTTCGGGTGCGAGAGTGTTGGGAAGAAATACCTTAGATGGCGGGCGGGGACTTCGCAGATTTCGACTAAACGCTCTTCCGAGCAAAAGGGATACGTAATTACCTAATAATGTATCCTCCGCATCTAAACAGTAACACGCATTGTGTGACGTAAATCTGTGCCATTTCTGGGTCCTTAGATTCTATCACGATGGAGGATGCCCGTTTGATCGGCCCTGAAAATGTCTGTGTCTTGTAGCTCTTGTCGAGCCGGTGGTCAAGGTGTTCATAACGCTGACTGGAATCCCAAGTTTGGTCTAAATTCTCTCAACTCGACGGCCCCTCGTCTCTATAGTGTATCATCCAAGGTAATATTATCATTCCTACACCGCTGTGCCCTAGGGCGTGCCGATCCAAGGTAATATTGCTTGCTAACCTGTTGCTCTCCAGCCCCAGCCTGGTGTTACTGGTGTGGCCAGGGCCCCCTATTATGCGCGTGGCACTTGTACGGGAGCGTAGTGTCCTCGACTTTCTCCATCGCGCAGAGATGTCTGTCACTGGCCAAGTAATGATTTTTGCAGTATGGTAATTCAATCACCAAAGACCCTTGCAGCCGCAAGTGTAGTAGGTCTGGGTCATCTCGCACATTACGCGCGAGACGGGGCACGAAGGTCCTTGGAGCTGCTTCATGTCTGGGGACTAGCACGGTGATGAAGACTTGGTGTAGAGTTGAGGACGTCGACTTTGGACGAGCAAACGTTGGACTTGAATCCAGATGCTAATTTACCGTGGCAATAATTGTCAGAATGGGTGGTGAATTGATGAGCTTAGAGTGATTTCTGAACTTGGTTGGGCTGTGACTGGCTGTGTGGTCTTTGCACCTAATAATTCTCATTTTAACTAACTATGCGTCGTGGCAACTTTCCAACGTCAACAATGATAGCAACAGTAATTTTCGCTGTCTTTCAAGGGTTTTGGAAGACTTGGATCGTTTTATCCAGTCCTGGATCCAGCCATCAACATCAGATGCGTGGCATGGTGCATCCTTTGATACATACTTGAACAACTCCGCAGGACGCTTGGCTTGGGTCTATTGCCGGTATTTATGCTCCATCTATGACACGACGACTAAGTATTCCTGTCTATTCTACCTTAGAGGTTCGGGAATGTCGTTTGCTTACTTGACTGGGCCTCCAAGCACGCCTCGGGTTCTCCATGATCAAGTCATTGAGCTGATGCGGTGGCTTAAGTACATGCAGTGCACAGCAGTCCGATACAAATGAGAAGCACAAAGGGTCCCAGGCGGCTACAGAGAACCGCTACTTTTCTTTTCATTCCTTTTCCCCTGCTGAGGGGCGAGCCTGGGGACTGTTGGAGTTCCATTCCGTCCATGGTATTTCATAAAGCGTTTCTGGCCAAAAGACCTTGCAATACTTAATCGTGCATCTTTGAAACGAAATTCTTACATCACAATCGTTGGGGCCCACGAATGATGGATTGGGTCAGCATGCAAGTACTCTACATACGCAACCGCAACAGGCGTGTGGACGGGGACAGCCATCCAAGACAACCAGCAAAGCTTGAAGAGGAAGCGAAGTGTTTCCGGGGGTCATGTAGAGTGGAAGTACTGACTGATTGAGTATTTCGATAGCCGCGGCGTCAAGCTACAGTATGATCCGTCAGCTCGGATCCGGACGATCCGAATGCTTCCAGCTGCTTGGGTTCGAAGGGGTTCCAGTACTGGTACATATCGGCCCGGTTCCCAGCTTACCGGATTCTTAGTAAGCCTTCTGAGCGGAGCTTCTAGGGCCCAGACAGTCGCAGCGCTGAGCCAAGGGCCTGTGGTACAGTGCAGTCAGCATTAGAGCCTAGTCCTGCGGACTGGCGATCGGTCCGAGCCCTCTTTCGCTTGAGGGCGACCCGTGTCATTGGGTCCGTCTGTCAAACAAGAAGAAGAAGGTACGACCAACTTACGTCAGGTGACGGTCGCCGGTATGTATGTCAGCGGCGTGTGGGCTTGGAAGGATCCTCTGACCTACTCGAAACGTCTCTAGCGCCCGGCCAACCCTACCCGGCGCTGAGCTGTGCCTCTTAATTGGCATCATCACGCCCAAAATGGCCGGAGCTTTGTTTGATTTTCGTGGGGGAACCGTGAGACGAGAAATCTGTCTCGAGAACGTCTGAGTTTGCCAGGGGGTTTCAGTGAATCTGCACTCTACCTGTACTTGAGTTTCGCAGCCACTTTGACCCCAGAATGGGTAACAGAAGGCTTAAAGCACCGGCGCTGAGGCCCCCTAAATTCGCTAGTCCTGCTGATGTGAAGGACAGTATCTGATCACAGTCGAAGGCTGAATTGTTAAAACGGAGCACTGCAGATTCCCAGTGCAGCGTGAAGCCCCGAGCCACACTCGTGGTCGCTCACTCAACGGCATCACTCCCCAAGTATTCCACGGTCAGTAGAGAGAACAAAACGCTATGCAAACCAGGCCCCGGGGCATCCTGTCTATGGCTTACATTTATGTAACCCAAACGCTGAAAAACCCAACCCATTCCAATTGAGTCATGCATCCGAGAATGATCCAACATAATAGGGGTGTACAAGACAACAACAAAGTAGAACCCAGTCACCCTTAGCTCCTAAAGGGGAATGAACAGGTCGGTGGGTGAGGAATCAACAAACGCAGGAGAAAACGACAGGTGTGAATGCAACATGATAAAACGAAGAACCTGGCCAGCATTACCCTAACCACCCCAGGCGTCCAAGCGTGACTTCATCATGTTTGGTTGGTATGTTGGATACCAGACCCGGGCTGTGCTAATTACCACTTAGCGGACCAGCGGTAACACTCCTCCACTCCTCTCCGGGTCTCTTCTCAAGACTGACGGTGCATTCATTGATGGAAACTTGATTCGTTCCACTAATCATCCTTGTCGGGTCCCAGGAAGGGGCATCCCGCAGACTTTCCAAGTGGTACGGTCGTTTAGAAGTCATCAGCGGGCGGAGTAGGTGGCCCCGGGTTCGGTGGCGCTGGCGGGAGCGGTCCGGGCCTGGGTTGTGGTGTCGGCGAGGGCGGCGGGTCGGGGACCGGGACGGAATTGGCTAGGCGTGCCGGCGAGAGATGTCCGTACTTTGGAATAGAGGGTTCATTAGGCCCCAAAGGGTGGAAAAGGGGGGACGCATCCATCTCGAGATGGTCACGGGGCGACCCTTGGATCGTGATCATTGCGTTGAAGAGTTGACGGAGCTGATCTGAGCAACGACTACGCAAGGATACGGGGTAAGATGTGAAGGGGCTTCGCAAATCAAGCGGTCTGAGGTGTAAGGCTGGAAGTGAGATGGGATGTGGTCGGAATGCTTGCTGTGGTGAGACGGAGGCTAGCAACAGCGCTCTTCTCTGTGGCCTTATATACTCTTTTCTCTAAGGTGTTTTTGGTCTCGAAAGAAACACACGAAATGAGACGGGACCACGCAACACCACCAGTCATACAGACACCCGCGGCCCCAGTCGCACAAAAGGGGACCGTGTAACAATAATGACTTACCTGGGAGCCGGTTTGTGAGCGCCGACAGTGTTGTGTGGGCTGGCGCTATCCAACCAACAAAGGGTTCTCTTTGGGAAGTGAAGGATCTGGCTGGCGTCTCCATGGGGACTCGCGTGCACGCATGAGCCATGGCAGGTGCGCACTAATGGAGCCCAGAGACAATCCAGAACTCATAGAACGACGGCGATTGGAAGGGATCTTTGGGGAGTGTGAGACTCGGCCAGAAGATTTCTTTGGTTACGGCGGTAAGGCGGGGAGGACAATTGAGGCAGCGAGCGTGCGTGCGACTTGGAGAGTCCAAGCGGTGACGTCGAGGACGGGAGTTGGTGGGCCGGGATCCCTCCGCTGTGGATGACGGCAGAACTGCAGACAAAGTGAATAGAACGAAACAGAGCCGGTATGCGAGGCGGTTGCGGCAGGCGGATGGGGTCATCTTTTGGCGTGCGGCGTGACGAGGCTATGTTCAAAAGCTGACTTTGGTAGTGCTGATGTCCTGTGATTGAGTCAGTCGGGTGGGCACGCAGAAGAGCAGGATCAGTGAAGTCTGATTGCATGACTGCTCTGCAAGTAAGCACGTCGAGCAGGGAAAATGGGACTGGCGGTGATTGTAGTGCGTGCGATGTTGCCGCAAAAAAGTACTGGTAAAGGGTTGCGGCCCAGACGCCAGACGGACGGTTCTGTGCTACCACGAACTCACCGATCCACGGCAGGAAGGTACTGGGAAAGTCGAAGGCAGTTTACAAGACGCTCCGGCAGTCTGGTCCAGCTGCGTATTTCCCACGAGTCACCCATATGTTGTGGGTTCAGGCCCGGAGTCGGCCAGCCCAATGGCAAACCGCCTTCTTTGCTGCATCTTCCTGCAGAGGTCGAATCTGGAGTAACATTGATCTGAAGACAGCCGAGTCCCGCTTTCCCGGAAAGCCACTGCCCGCTTGGGCTTGCATTGGCCCCCCGCGAGACGAGAACCTGGCACTGGTAGGGCTGACTGCAGGGCCATGGGACGATGTAACTGGAGGACACTGCCCATGTGCCAATCCAGACCGGCCAGGAAAACCAAGATGAAGCGTATGGAATACTGCGTCGGCCGAAGTGGCTCGATGGATTTCGAATCTCTGACTGATGAGAAATCGCCGGGCTTGACTCAGCAAGGCCAGAGGTTGCCCGGTGGTCGCCTTGACTTCCAGGTTCCTTGGAACTCAATTTGGAACGTGACGGGTTGCCTCGGGCGGCGTGGGCTTGGACCCCGCTATTCTGCAGCAGTGCCATGTATCGTCGTCCATCCGGAAGGCAGAGAGCCACGATCAAGTGTCAACAAGGCAGCTGTCTCACCGCAAGACGGCTGCTGTTCGCTAGTTACTGGCCGGACAACGAAAGGGTTCTGTCACAGGGACCGACTTTTTGCTCTGTCCTCAGGCTTGGCTTCTGCAAGGATCTTGTGTCATTCCTTACTGGACCCTATAAGTGGAACACATTGTGTCATGTCAGTTTGGCTGCATACGCATGTAGGCTGGCCTGGTGGGAGACAGAGGACTCACTCTAGGGGTTCCCACACTCCGCCTCAGCAGAGACAGAAGGTGACTGAGTACTAAGCCACTTTGGTCTCCTTCTAGGCCTAAGTGAGGGGTTTTCTTCGTAGGCAGCACTGAAGGGTTGCCGAGCAAGTGGGCCACATGGATTTGGGGAGCAACGGAGCCAGCTTTCCGACCACCCTTCTCTTCGGAACAAATAGTCAGCTTTCCCCATGTCGGACCTCGCTCGACGACCTAGATGACGCTTGTTTGGAACTTTCCAAGTTAGTGGTAAGTTGTAGCGCGCATCCCGCGTGAGCAGCATCGGCAGCAATGCCCGGGATTTTGAGTAACCTCCTTCATCGCCATAGGGCTGACATGTACCGTGGACATGGCGGTCCCTTCCTGGGGGCGGAAATACCGGACACGCATGACAAATCCCCCGATCCACGACAAGACCCGGCGCTTTGGGTGGCCTCTTCGATTTCGGGGAGAGGAGGATCCGAAACCAAGATATGGGCCGGCTTTGACAGTAATTCATTCGTGTTTCAGCGGCTCGCAAATATCGAAGGGCGGGTCTGTGAGTCTGGCGGATGGGACTCCCGACGCTCTTATGCGGAATCATCGATTTGGTTAGACAGCTCGCCAGCTTCACGGCAAGGAATCCGTCGTCTAGAATCCATTAGCCTAGCAACGCCGAATACTAAAACACACATCACGAGCAAATCTCATCTGCTCGCTCCATTCCCGTTCGTTTTGTGACCATCCGCTCCTGAAACGCCGTCCATTTCCCAAATGTCCCATTCTGGCCTACCCCAACCGATCGCTGGCCCCTTCTATCTCCTGTCCCGGCTGTGACTGCGGCTTCGGCTGCGCCTATCATAGCTGTCGTAGCTATCACGGCTAGGGCTTCTCCGCCTGCCGTAGCTGCGGCTACCCCTGCGGGCGCGACCGCCGGCGCGGCCAGGCGGCGGCGTCCGTGACGGAGACCGAGACGTGTATGATGCCGACCGAGACCGGTACCTCCGGGATCCGCGGCTGGGCGCCGGTGATCGAGAGCGCGACACAGACCGAGGGCGGTAGACGTCGCCGGAGCGGTGGCCGTGGCGACCCGAGCCACCACCCGCAGCGGGGGATCTCCAGCCACGACCGCCAGCAGGAGCGCCGCCGCCGCCTGAGGCGCTGAGCACAGACCTGACGTTCGCCGGCGGGCCGCGGGGTCCACGGCGGGCTACCGGGGGAGGAGGCGAGACCTTGCGGCGGGGGAGGACGATCGACACATTGATTACGGCGCCGTCGAGTTGAGCCTCGTGCATGTGAGTGATGGCCGACTGGGCGTCGTCCTCGTTGAAGTAGAGGATGTATGCGGTGCCACGGTTGAGACCGGCTGCATTGCAGATGGGATCAGCATCACGTGCACATAGTCTATATTGGAGGGACCTTACTTGTTCGGCCAATCGGGAGATCCAGATCTTCAATCTCGCCGTACTGCCCAAAGATTTCGTATAGATGGTCTTCGTTGACGTTTTTAGTCAGGCGCTCGACAACAATCTGAACCAAGGCCCTGTTAGCAGAACGCAGAGATAATGTTTCTGAAAAGGTGTTTGACATGACATGCCTTGGTGGACCTCATCCGAGGACTCGGACTGCGGGTTCTGGTTCGCGAGCGGCTCCTGTCGCGGCTGTAGCTTCGATCGCGCGAGTAGCTGTAGCTGCGAGAGCGGGTACGACTGCGACTGCGATTTGGGGTGCGACTGGCAGTGCGACCGCGGCTGCGGCTGCGGCTACGGTATCGGCCATTTCTTGCTGGAGAACGGCTGTTGTCGTCTCGATCGGGAGAACGGCGGCGATCCATTGACGGCGATCGCGAATATCGAGAGCGCGGAGTTGGAGACCGGGAGCGTGATTGAGATGGGCGAGGCTCGTCTAGAGCCATGCGGTGGCTGGCTCCTGCAGAAGCCATTGGATGGTTGCACAGGCTGCAGAGCAACCAAATCAAATGCGCCCAGGTGACCGATTGCTTGCAAAGTGCAATGCAGCCGACGGCCTGACAAAAGCTTCTGGCGCGCTGGCTAAATTCAGACGCGATTTCTTATCTGCACGTGACCACATAAATCACACATGGCCTGGCTCCACACAGCTGGCTGGATCTCGACTTCCCTCTTCTGGGCTATGCGTCATTCTCTTGGCGCCTGCCCGCTTCCTTGTTGCACGCAACGGCCATCTTCATCAACCACCTACGATGTCTGTTCCTTTTCACATGAGTTGGACAGCGGCAGTCGGCCAGACAAAACTGTTTCGCATAGTAGCGATTCTTTCTTCCTCTATCACCGACCAAGTCAAAAAACAGTGCTCATGCCGCTGGTCGACTGTTATTAATGTTACAAGCATCTCGAGAAGTTACGGTGCTGGGACCTATACCTTGTAATTGTCATCACCGGCTTATTCATATGGGGACAGACACGAATCATCTACAGTGCAGCCGTGTCTGATAGTCTTCTGCGTTAATCCCTTTTCCGGTTTCAGCCGCCCTGTTGTTCTGGTTTCTGGATTCCGAAAGGGCCTGCCTGATGACGGCAGAAGTCAACCCAAGGCCCTAACAGATTGGTTGCTTGATTCATGGGTGTGCTGGGCAGCACACCCTCCGTTCCGTCATGGCCCTGCGCCCATTGGACGAACACACACAAACGCATAAGGGACGAACAGCGACATGCCACAGGGTCCTGTGTTGCGACCCCTGAGGCCCTTTGTTTTGACGTCATATCATGGACGACCACCAGCGTGGGAAAAACCAGGTTTGACAACTCGCAAGGGCTGTGATGGGGGGGCGACAGGATACTCAAATAGGGTCTCCTCCTACCGCTGTTTGGAGAGTTGTTAATTGTCCTTCACCATCCAACTCACCATCCAACATCCACCCACCTCAAGCAGCCACAACCATCACACATCACACCATGGGCCTTTTCTCTCGTCACGCCGAACCGACGCCTCAGCCGCAACCTGTCTATGAACAGCCGCCCAAGAAGCACGGCCTCTTCGGATCCCGGCACCAATCCCCACCGCGCTCCCACACGACAAACACCAGCCGAAGCGCCTACAGCGTCTCACCTGACCGCGACCGCGGCAGCGGCGGTGTCTTCCGCCGGTCGACGGACGCAAGCCACAACGGCAGCCACCGTAGCAGCGGCGGCCTGCTGCACCGGAGCTTCGGCAACGGCAACCGGGTCGACCTGGACCCCAGCATCGTGCAGGCCCAGGAGCGCCTCCGGAACGCCGAGTCCGCCGAGATGGAGGCCGACCGCGCCCTGATCGCCGCCCGGGAGAGCGTCCGCGAGGCCCGCGAGCACGTCCGCCGGCTCGAGCTCGAGGCCCAGGAGGAGGCCCGCCGGGCAAAGATCAAGCAGCACCACGCCAAGGATCTCTCCAAGAGGGGGAAGCAGCTTGGACGTAGGTGACTCCGAAGATTGTGTCCGGTTTCTGGTTAGGTACTGACTTGTGTAGGATACGGAAACTGAGTTGGTTGAATCGTCAACCTCTACATCTTCTTTTAGCGTCTTGCGAATGTGGTCTTGGGTAGGGCACACGGGAGGGAAATACCACGGCGTTCTGCATCTGAGCGTTTCGTCCTTGTTCATTCCTTTGCTGCTGTATTCCTACTGTACTGTTCACTGATCCATATACCAACATTTAAAGTTCTTTGCAATATCTGACCATGAACACATTGAAGTGAGGAGAGCAAGAACAATCCACATGACGAACACAATCTTCCAGAAGCTATTAGTCCGATTCACTGGGCAAGGTATTTCCCAGACCAGCCAGGTGCCAGTTCGTCCCTCTCCTCGCACCTCCGCCCTCCCTATTCCGCCACATCACTCCCCCCTTTCATAACTTCCCCCTTCCACCCATCCAGCACAAGATCCAATACAGTACACTCTACCACGGCCGTCTCAGTAACTCCGTCAACGAAACGTGTGATGAGTTATACCCCCCGCCATGACCGCAACAACGACCCCAGCAACCCTCACCCTCGCTGACAGCCCCTAGGCTTCATTCTTCTTCTTCTTGCCACCACGGTTGCACTTCTTGCAACCATTCCTTTCCCGCTGCTCGTCAATCTCGGCGATCTCTACCGCGTTTCGTCGGCTGCAGCGGCAGCGCGGCCGCTTGCAGCGCGAATTTGTGACTAGCGCCTTGTCGACGTACCCGTGAGACTCGTCGGACTCCTCTGCTGAGTCGGGGTTGGATTGGTGGTGGTGGTGGTTGGCTCTGAAGTTGAGGCGCAGGTGCGGTCCGTGACCGCTGCGGTGGTTGCGCCAGCGGAGATGTGGGCGAGGTCCGAGTCGGTTGTTTAGATGGTGGTGGTAGTGGATGATGATGGCGCGGTGTTGTCTGCTGAGGCCTGGGCAGTGTCGTGCGTGCTGTAAGTTGGGGAGAGGACGAGGTTGTTGGTCAGCTGGTTGGCATAAAAAGTTGGCTGCGGCAAGCAGGATGGTTCCGAGAAGAGCCGGGAGAGCAAGCAAGAGGTGAATCATCTCGGCGTTGCGTCTGGGAATTCTTACTCGAGGATGTGTTTTCGGCTGATTCGTGACGGTAGTCGAGTGTATATTTCTCCAAAAAAAGGGGTTGGTATGGTGCCTGAGCATAATGTACACGAGGATGGCTTCGAGATGCCCCTGAGACTCGAAGTTGGCGAACGGTGTTGGCTTTATAGCCCTGCCGAGGGAGATTGTTGCTGGTCGACACTGACAACATAGCGAGCCATGTGTGGTGCCATATCATAGTCACACTCTGCTTTTGGCTTCGAAGTGATGGGATAATCCAAGTTGATACTTCACTGCGCTCTTACGACACGATGCACCCGTCGGCTAGGTGGTCCTCGTCATCCCTGAATTGCGTACAAGGCGCTGAAGGGGAGAAGATCGTTGAGGGCATCTCATTTATGGTTTGCTTGTCCGTAGAGTGAATGCTTTCCTCACTGTCAACAAGTCTTGAAGCGATAAACTTCAGACAAAACCGGTAGAGAAAACTGAATTGCTGGGTTACCCCGCGAGCTTAATGTATTATGGAAGAAGGTGCCCTCCTTCCTTCGCATGGCTCCGAGTCCAGTTCGGTGGCCACTCTCGTCCTCCCAGACTGATGTTTACTTCCGCCTCACACAATCGAGTTCAACTCTTCCCAAAACGTGCCGGGACCACAGAACAATCACGTCGAGGTCGCCATCATCGCATCATTTTCGGTGTTGCATAGCCAGTTTGGACTACACAAGAGAGTGCGTATCATCGTCCATCCTCACCGGCGGCCTGCTCGTCTTGTCTTTCCCCTCACTTCCGACTTCGCAACTCCCATACCGATTCCTCTCATTTGATACCACCATTGTACCGCAGTCCGAACATGAAGTCCTTCTTCGTATTTATGCTGGCTGCGGCATCTGTCGCCTGGACTGCTTACTGGATGGAAGACATCTCCCGTCATGGCATCGCCCCGTTTAACCCGGACAAGGACTATCGCATCTTCAGAAATGTGAAGCAGTGGGGAGCCAAGGGCGATGGAGGTAAGGGACACTGGCACTCTTGGAGGAGTCCCTGCTGACTTCTGCACAGTTACCGACGATACTGCTGCTATCCATGCCGCCATCAGCCACGGCAACCGTTGCGGCGGCGCACGCTGCGTTGGGTCGACTATCACACCGGCCATTGTGTATTTCCCAGCCGGAACCTATCTCATCACCGCTCCAATTGTCGGCTTCTACTACACTCAGCTGGTTGGGGACCCGACCCACATGCCCGTCATCAAGGCCTCTCCGAGATTCCCAACACAGGCAATCGCTCTTCTGGACGCCGACCCTTACATGAGCAACGGCAGTACGTGACTCGTGACGGTCAAATAGCATCTGTTTCTAATGTGAGCGGGAACAGAGCTCAATTTTCAGGCGACGAACGTCTTCTACCGACAAGTCCGCAACCTGGTATTTGACACGAGGGCTGTTCGCGGGAAAGCCACTGGGATCCATTGGCCGTCTGCCCAAGCCACTCTGATCCAGAACTGTGCGTTCCATCTATCTTCTGACCCGAAAGACACCCATGTGGGCATTTTCATGGAAGAAGGGAGCGGGGGCATGATGGTCGACCTCGTTTTCCACGGCGGCAAGTACGGTGCCCGGTTCGGCAATCAGCAGTACACGATGCGTAACCTGACCTTCTACGGCTCGGATACCGCCATCGACCAGATCTGGAACTGGGGTTGGACGTACAAGTCGCTCAAGGTCGTTGGCTCCCGGGTTGGCATCAACATGTCATCGTCCGACGTCGGGTCCGTCACCCTTCTTGACAGCTCGTTCGTCAATGTCAGCACCGCTCTTGTAACCGGGCGAACTCCGGGCAACAAAACCGGTCTCGGCTCGTTGGTCATCCAGAACGTGTTATACACGAATGTCCCAACTGTTCTGGCGGGGGCAGACGGGCAGCCTCTCCTCTTGGGAGATCCGAACGGCTCTGTCCACGACGGTGGTTACGCGAGGGTAAGTCTGTCCGAGCAAATGTGAGATGCGATACCTGCGCTGACTTACCATAAGGGCAATATGTATGCTCCACACGGACCATCCCTGCTGGAAGGACGCGAGTTCGCCTTCTCGCAGCCTGCGACCCTGAAGCTCGGAGACCGCTACTATGAGAGATCGAAGCCGCAGTATGAACAATACCCCGCCTCTGATTTCATGTCAGCTCGGGATCACTATGCTGTGGGTGACGGACAGACAGACGACACCTCTGCCCTCAACGCGCTGTTTCAAGCGGTCGCTGGTTCGTCGTACATTGCCTACTTGGACGCCGGGTATTACAAAGTCACCAACACTATCTTCATTCCGCCGAATACTCGCGTCGTCGGCGAAGGTCTTGCCGCAATCATCATGGGCGCTGGTGAGAAGTTCTTTGACCCAAACAATCCCCGTCCTGTGGTTCAGGTTGGGAAGCAGGGCGATGTTGGGTTCCTTGAGATGAGCGACATCATCGTATCGGCTCAAGGGGCAACTGCAGGAGCCGTCATGATCGAATATAACCTCAACACCCCGGCAGCCGAGAACACCTGCAGTCCAGGAAATCCGCCTTCCGGCCTCTGGGATGTTCACGTCCGCGTTGGAGGGTACAAGGGATCCAAGCTTCAAGTTGCCCAGTGTCCTATCACACCAAATCAACACAACTACGTCAATTCTTCATGTGTCGCCGGGTATATGGGCATGCACATCACCCCGAGTGCCCGGAACTTGTACATGGAGAACAACTGGATCTGGGTGGCCGACCATGACATCGACGACTGGAACTCGACCCAGATCAGTGTCTTTGTCGCTCGAGGGCTGCTGGTGGAGGGGAGCCGTATCTGGCTGGTTGGGAGTTCGGTTGAGCACCACACCCTGTATCAGTACCAGCTGGTCAACGCCTCAGATGTCTGGATGGGCCAGATCCAGACCGAGACCCCATACTACCAGCCAAACCCGCCGGCTCCGTATCCATTCACTCTGCTGAACGCCACCATCCGCGATCCCGATTTCACCACCGACTGCCAGCACTACGCTGCGCCGAGTTCTCTGAGGCCAGGGACCAGCGCGCCGTGTGCCATGGCATGGGGCCTGCGTATCCTCGATTCGAAGGACGTGGTCGTGTTCGGTGCCGGTCTGTACAGCTTCTTCAACAACTATGACACAAGTTGCAGCACCGCCGCGGCGGGCGAGGACTGTCAGGCGCGCATCTTTTGGGTCGGCGACAGTAGTGGCAAGGCTGCGGACGTGCTGACGGTGGAGACGTACAATCTCAACACCATTGGCAGTGTTAGCATGATCACGCAGGGCAAGATTGACATGGCCACCTGGGATCAGAACAGGGCGACGTTTGCGAGCACCTTGGCCGTGTTTCGGTCTGAGGGCGCAGCAAGGGAGGTTGGAGTATGAATGGGTGAATGTCAGGTTAGTTGCACTAGGGACACTGTTGTGATGGCGTTTGGCGTTGGGTTCGGAGTCAGCTCCCTTACCTCTTCCAGGGCCCCAGAGAGATGAAGGGAGCTGCTATTATATACCATACTTGCCCATGTACCGTTAGTTGTCTTTGTACAGAATACATTGTCGGTGTGGAACACTTGGCCTATATCATTCCGCGGACATGGGAAAATGCCATTGCTCGCGGTGATGTGAGGGGTGGCGTACATATTACAGTACATGATGTGCACAGGGCTTTTGCAGTGAGAACCCCCTTTCACAGGTGAGGAGGAAAGTTGGATACAGCGACAAATGGCCTCAACTTTGTTGAAAGGCCAGTCGGCATGCTCTAATCCTGGGCACAGGAATAATGCAACTGGAGCATTGATAACGGGAACATCAGGGGTTGGGCATGGCCTTTGATGCTCTTTCATGTTGGAACAAACTTCACATAATGTGCATATCAGCGAGTGCACCATATCAGCGAGTGCACCATATCAGCGAGTGCACCATATCAGCGAGTGCACCATATCAGCGAGTGCACCACTTATCAAGTTTTGGTGGGACTGTGGGCAAAATGTGTTTTAAAAATGTTAGGGCTCTAACGTTATCGTTTTTTAAAAAACACATTTTGCGCACAGTGGTGCATTCGCTGATATGGTGCACTCGCTGATAGTGCACGTTAGCAGAGTATGTTTTTTTTTTCTTTGCAAGGGGTCAAGAGGCAAGGGCCTTGTGCCATCACGTCAATGATCACGATCGGTCCGATCCGAAGTTGGCGATCGTCTTGTGATGTCGTTGGGTTGGCGTCTGAGGGCGCCTGGGTATCTGGATCATAATTTCCGGGGTTGTGGAGTGCATGTGGAATTGTGGAGGAGACTGGGTTTTTCTCTGTAGGGGTGTGACCAACGACCCGTGATGATGAGTGGCTGCCACTGGAGAAAGTGGGACACTGGGAACAAGCGTCGGCGCTTGGGCCAGCGCTTCCTTTTCTTCTCAGTTTCTTTTTCTCCCGGACCCATGTCTGACTATTGCTCACACTCGGCTGAAAACCAACAACGGAAATCCAGCCTAGGTATGCCGAAGCCACCTCATCGGGACAGGAACAATGTGAGTCGAGTCAATGATTAATTTGATGGCTGCCCGAGTAAACGCAATAAAAATCTCAGGTACAGCACAAAAGAGTCCGACAAGGTTGGCAGCGAACAATGAAAAACGTGGGGTATTGACCAAGGTTGAATGTACTGTATAAAAGGCTAAAACGGTGCAAGTCGAGAAGAAAAAGGTAGTGAAAAAGGGCATCCCCTTGCGCCGCATCCATCTCATATCCCTCGTAGAAAAACCTTTGGTTCATCAAACAACGCTGCCATGAAATGAAACCAGATCCCGACCCTGCCACCTATCGTCTCCTTCCTCCTCATATGCAAAGTCAAGATCCGTCCCAGATCAGTTCCCCAAGAAGAAGTAATTAAGGTCCAGCCGGCAAAGCCATCGTGCCCCTTCCCGATATCAATCCCCTTAGCTCATAGGCGAACAAAGTCCGGGTTTGTGGTTAGAAAGAAGTGGGCGGAAGACAAGGCGAAAAAAAGGGGTATCAAGCTTTCGACGGTGTGCCGCAAGCGGCAAATAGGGGAGATCTCGAGTAGAGAGGGCGATGGTAGGTGGCGATAGCTTTGCCGGAAGAACGAAGAATAAGAGTTAAAGAAGTATCCAGGGCTAAGATTCAGTCGTATGTGTGAGGAATCATCGAGGCCGTCCGATCGCGCCCCGGCTGCCTGCTCTGGAGAACCGAAGGTGAAGGAGGTCAAGGAGGCGTGAATTAAGAATAAAAGTGGTCGCGAGTCGCGCGCGACCGCTGAGGCGCCGTAGAGGATGCGACTCCCTCGGGGGGTGTGAGAGGTGTGCGTCGACGAAGTCGCAGCCCACGGGTTGTGCCTCAAATAAACCTGCCGAAGGAGCTGACTGATTCGGTTTGGATTGAGAACGCCCCGCTCTGACAAAGGAAAACGATTGTGGTGATGCTCGCATCGAAGAAATCCGGCTCGCAGTGCGCCGGGGTGTCGCTTCCCGGCCGTCCTGATCCTAGTCCGACGAGGGATTCTCTCTGTTCCCAGAGTCCGCAATCCCCTTCGCCCAAGGCTGTGTCGGCGCGATTAAAGGAGGGCAGCGGCAACAAGACCGGCCACAGCGACGACGCCAACTTGGCCGGCTCCAAGTGCTGGCGCAGCGTTCGGGTCGGCTGAGGTAGAGGCGGCCGCGACAGATGAGGTAGTAGAGCTCGTCGGTAACCTGACGGTACTGGAAGCAGAGCTGGCGACGCTCGAGCTCGAGCTGCTGGACGTAGTCACTTCAACGCGCTGCAGAGTCACAGTCTTGGTGAGCGTCAAAATGCTCGTTGAAGTAGCCGTCGACAATTCCTCAGCGACAGCCGCTAGCGGCAGTGCGAGGGCGGCGAGGATGAATGTCCGTAGATGCATTTTGAAGAAAGGGAACGATTCGCGTCCGAGACTGCGTCGGGAGATGCTGAAGAGTTGTGTATTTGACGTGTGAGAAGTAGAGTGGAATCCGGACTGCGGCTCGCTGAATGCAAGCAGAGTCAAACGCCGGGGGATTCTGGGTTTGTTTGATCGACCTTTCCAAGCCAAACAGTTCACCCTTGGTTCGAGGAGGTGGAAGCGATCGTCGACGGCTGCTCCTAATGACGGGCGGATGTGTCGTCAAGAAATGGTGCACGTGATGCTGATGCTGCTAAAGAGCGTGTGGAATAAAGAATGACAGACTGAATACGTCGAGTATTCAAGGTCGGGGGGAGGCGCTCCAAGGGTAGACTTTGCCAACGAAGCCTGTGTGGGAGCGGAGGGTGGGCGGCGTGGCCTGAAGAGACGGGGAGGAATGGGAGAAGTCCACGATGTCGGGCGGGTGTCTGGGGTGCTGCCCTGCGGCGCAAATTGCGTTTGTGCACGCCAAGAGCCCAATGAGCCGGCAAGGCACAAATCACGTTAGGCGGTACGTAGCGGGACGCACACCTTCCCCACCAGGGATTGGCGCTCGCCGAAGGGTTGCTCTGGTACCTGCGTCGTCCGGACAGGGGTAAAATCGGCATCCGTCCCTCGTTCCCAATCGCTGCGCAGGCGCCAAGGGCGACCTTGTCCTGGAAATCGCGGTTGTCCGGCCGCGAATTCAGCGGCCTCAAGGGAGCAACTGAAGGGGCTAGCCGTACGGTCATCGCTGGCTGGCAGAAGCTTCACAATTGACAATTACCTAGTACAAAAAAAGTACAGACTCCGTTTACACAGCGGCGCGCACTCAGGGTCCACCAAAAATAAAAGTATGGCACTTTCCCAAAGAAGTAAGCTGAGCCTCCTGGGCCTCTCTTTTGTCCACTGCCCAAGCGCCTCGCAACCACTGCCACATCACAGAGAACGCTGAGAGGTGCTCAGGTCGCTTGCGATCCCAGAGAGCCTAGCCTCCTGAGCGGGTATTCATGGTGCAAAGGGCGCGCCGTTGAGCACGCTGTTAACCGAACAACGGACCCGTGAAGAGATGGCGGCGAACTGCGATATTTAACCAATTTTCTGTGGAGTCCTTGATTTTCGTGCCCAGCATCGATGTCTTGTTGTCTCTTGCAGAAGCGGACCGTGGCCCTTCCCAGGGATTCATCCAGGACGACACTTAGCGACAGCCTTCTTTTTGTGGGGAGGTCAGACTGCGGATCTGTCCCAGGTAACGTTTATGGTTCCTGAATATGGAAGCCTGGATGTTCTTACCTTCTGCCTACAGCACATCGACGACTCATCGAGGCCTGGCTGGTGCCATGTGTCGCACACCCGCCTCCTGGATGCACATTGTACCACGTTGCAAGAATCTCGGCCATCTGGGAACTAATGGTCTCGCATCCCTGTCCCGAACGTGGAAGCATCTGCACGGCGGGAGGATTGGGTAGGGTTTCAATGCATGCTAGAGAACCCACGAAAATTCTCTCCTGCAGCTTCGTCTCGGGCTCTCTCGCTCGGCTTGGGACTCCCAGTGTTACACAACCAATGCTCTAGAAAACCTCGAAACCGCGTGTCTGCGGCCATTCGACCATGCTCCTTCAGCCGGGCGTTTTGCAGCAAGGAACATAGGTTCTCGTTCTGAGAACGTGGCATGTCTGACACGCAGCAGCCAGCGTGTACGGATAGGCTGTCGAGCTTCAGATTCGGGACCGCCCATTTCAGGTCCGCGGGCGCCTACCTGCGTCGAGCCCGTGTTTCGGGGGTTCTGTCCCAATACCTCATCCGTTTCCGCATGAATTCATGCCCGGCACCGTAAGAAATGGCCTTCGCCTAACAAACCTGCAGAAGAATCAAGGAATGTGGAAACCTTAGAAAAAGGCTTAAGGGAAATGGTCAAGTGTTCCTCCACCAGGCCAGCTGATTCCCTATCCCCATTACGCGCAGTCAAGATGAAGCTCTTCTTTGTGCCCAACTATACACCGCTAGGTGCCTATTTTAGCAGATATCCCCTCTTCCAAAGCACCAAGAATGCCTGGTATGGCAGTGTACAAACTCTGCGTCCAAACCCGCCAACACCAGAGAGTCCGGGCATTCGGAGGAAGCGCTGTCCTTGACCCCATGCAACTAAGCTCTTTTACCGTAACGCCAAAACCATGCAGGGCCTTCTCGAGTGCCCGATCCAGATCTTGACTTTGAATCCCCACAAACCCAACCATTTCCTTGCTCTGGGTTGATGAACCAGTCCTCCCAAGCCGGCCGGACAGACAGACGGCCACCGCCGTAACTCAACTCGTCCACCTGATGCCCACCTCCACGCAACTGACATTTCTCACCCGCACCTGATCCTCCGCCTCCGCATCCGCCTCCTCATCCACTACCACAACATCATCCACAGCCCGCACCGTCCGGGTCCTCACCAACACAGCCAGTTCCCTCTCCCTCGTAAAAAACCCGCCAATCTCCACTGCCCTCTCAATCGCCCTCCCCGTCGCCACAAGCATGACATCATCCAGCCGATCCCCGATAACCCCGGTCGCTTTTTGCCCCGTCGCTGCACCTGCCTCACCCCTCCCAGCATTCCCAGAAGATCTCGATATAGAAGTTGAAGCAGAAGTGGTAGCTGACGCGACCCTCGCAGCAAGCGGCACCCTGCTATCCCGCCCCGCGCGCCGCGACGGCGCCTTCTCCAGGGCCTTGCGCACGCGCCGGACGAGGCTCATGAAGCTTGCGCCGGACGAGACTTTGACGACGATGGTGTGCGACGCGAGCGGCGGGGGGGTGTAGCCGTCTGAGTCGGCTGCTAAGGCTAGTAAGTCAGGGGAGGATGGCGCTGCTCGTGGTGGGTTTCGTGGGCGGGTGGAGGGGGAGGGACCGGGGAGGGGACGTTTTTGGATGCGCGTGCCTGTTGAGGGTGAGGTGGGTTAGTTGAGAATAGGCCGTGAGCAATTAGCGAGGGGCGGGAAGCTAACCTTTGGGGATGGGCGGAAGTTTCGTTTGTGGCTTGTTTGGTAGGGCGTCGGGTCGAGCGCCGTCGGCAACCGTTGGCGATGTCGAGGCCATTGTCAAGATATCGCGCTGAGGGTCTGTATACGATCGGGATCGGGCTGAGGATAAGGGCGCGTGGATAGCCGGCAGCGGATTCGAGACAAGATTGAGGAGAAGAAAAGTTGAAATGTTCCTGCGGCAGCAGCGCGGTATTTAATGGCAGTGACGGCCGTCAACTGTAGCGCGCGCCGCGTTTGCAGACGCAGAGAGTCACGCTCGAAAATGTTCAGATTTCGATATGTCATGGTTGCGCATGGTGGGGTTGATCTGCAAGTGAACGATGCCAAGAGATGCTTGGGGTCTCAGCAGAGCTCCACCAAAATCGTCATCCCATCTGCGACTCTGCAAACCAGCTCACTCTACGTCCGTAGCTTAACTCGAAGCTGTCGCCAGGCAACCTCCCTGGTATCCATAAAGCCACAAACACCGCACCCAGCCTGAAATATGGGTGCCTACTGCACGCGCAAAAGGACAGCAATAGCCTGACGCATCATCATGTCGGTGGAAATCTGGCCACATGTTGCGCCCGACCAGCTTAAAGCTGCCGTTGAGACAGCCGAGGTGCGTCGTATCGCTCCTCATCTAAGCTATTTGGTCGTCCTCCGATCAACAGATGGCTGTTACCATGGACGCATCATGGGTACTGATTGAACCTTCCACTGCGCCACAGATACGCGAACTGGACTGGTTCGTCAAGGAACTCCACGAAACGTTCACCAACCTTAAGCATGGCCTCGAGGACTGTTATGCGCTGCTTGCGCCGATAGACCCAGGGAGCACGCTGGTCCTCAGCACGCCGCGGAATGAGATAGTCAAAGGCCATGTCACACGCGTGGGGACTCGGATAGTCAAGGGGGTGTGGTCTCGCCGTTCTTCACCACCATGCCCGAGCAACGAATGACGATACTGACGCGCAGCCATCGCAGACAATCCACCTCCGGCTCCGTACTCTACCACACCAGACCCTCAACATCAATCCCGACCACCCGATCCACCTCGCATCTCTCACGACCCTCCACGCCCTCCTCACCCACTCTATCGACCTCCTAGCCCTCACCATGTCTTACTCGTACCCGTCCGCGACGACAACGTCACCCACAGCGACCCCTCGCCCGCCCTCGCTCCCCCCTCCCCAATTTCTCTCCGCCCAACTCCGCCTGCTCTCCCAATCCCTCGCCGAAGCCTCAGCCCTGCTCAAAGGTCCGCCACTGACATCCTCCGACCCGTCCTGGACAACCCGTTCCGCCCCCCCCTCCCACTTCACCCCTCCTCTCCCCCAACTCCACCCCAGCACCACCAGCAACACCAGCACTGGCTCCTCCTCCTCAACACCAGCGGGCGCCCCATCCCTAAGTTTCCACCTCACAATCCAAGATAGCTCCCTCGTCCTCTGGCTGCGCACCCTCGAGCCGGCCGACGCGCCCGCCCCGCTCTACACCAAGCTCGCCCTGGCGATCGGCACGGCCCGCAGGCTGGAACACGACGAGGCCGACAAGGTGTTTGCGTGGTCCTGCTGCAACGACAACCATAACAACAACAATAATAGTAATAACAACAGCAACAACAACCAGCAGTCTTCTGAGTCGTTATCGAGGCATTATAGTGCTAGTGTTGTCCAGGAAGCCGCAAAACCAACCGCCCCCATCCCCTTATCTGGCACACGCATCAAGAAGCGGGCCGTGGACGTCTACGTCCGCGAAAAAGTTCGCGTCGAGAGTGCCGATCCGAGCCTGCTGTCGCTGTCGGCCAAGCTGACGGCGCTGGGTCACACGCTGGCGCTGGCGCGGCGAAACCTGGCGGCGGTTATGGGGGAGGAGGTGGAAGGGGACGAGTAAAATTGGCCTCTGTTGTGGCTGGACAGGGGATCTAGGACGGCGGTGGTGAGAACGAGTGACGGTGTTGGGGGAATTGTGGCTGTTAAGTAGAATACCAGGTACGGACGGGGCGGTGGATGATCGCTTATCATCAGGACTCTTTGCATCGGCTCGAGTTGGTTGGCATGCATTCTTGTACCCGGAGGTCAACGTAGTATTGCTTTGAGCAACAATGGTTTGGGTATTTAGGACAGCTCATCATCTGTCTCTAGTATTGCAATATTATCCGCAACTATCAACAACGCCCGTGGCTGTAAAACACCGAGCTGTTGAGAAAAGCAAGGAAAACAGAAATAAAATCAAACTGCATATGTACATGGCCCTCTGCCACGGCCCAGTCTGGTCAACGCCAGAGAATGTGAGACGACGTGCCACTGCATCCCCAACCATCGTATAATTGATTACGCCACCGGCGACCACGGCATGGGCACCAGAATCCGGCTCTTCATCTCCTGGATCAGCGGGACAGTCTTGTGCACCGTCTCGGCCCAGCCTTCTATGCCCCAGCTCTTCTCACGGCGAATCTTGCGCTCCTCGAGATCGGCAAACTGCCACAGGTGGTGCACCGTATTGAGGTCGCCAATTTGCACAAACCACGCGCCCACGCCCTCCATGACCTCGCGCCGCGCCTTGAGCCCGCGCCGCCAGTGCGTCTCCCACTCAAGCAGGTTTCCCGGGTGCAGCGTGTACGAGCGCAGCTCAAAGAGCCCGCCCAGCTTTCTGGGGGGCGTCGTCGGCCAGAAGCTGAACTCTTGCATGAGCGAGGCCCGCTTGCTGTGGATCAGCCGGCGCAGCTTCTTGTCAAAGTCGGGGAACTGCGGGTTGCGCGAGATGGTGTTGAGAGAGGCATGGAAGCCTTGGTAGCGTTGGTATTCCCAAATGTGTACTGCCAAAGGACTTAATTAGGCCCCGCCTTGCCCGTTCATGATGATGCATGGTCACTCACCAAACGTATCGCAGTCGCCCACCTCGGTCCGCCAGCTCCCGACCAGGTGAACCTTATTCTCGGGCGAGCTGGCCACCTTGGGGTACCAGTTGCCCACGAGTTCGACGTACTCGTCCACGCACTCGGGCTTAACCTCGTGGAATTCGATCGAGTGCACGTACTTGCCACGGGCGAGCACCTGGCTGAAGCTGGCCTCAATCTGGGCGTCCAGCTCGCGGCCCTCCTTGGTGCCGTAGATGAGGTTCGTCAGCGGGCCCGCCTTGCGCGGGGGAGCTTGTTCGGCGGCGCGTGCCGCGTTCCCTGTACCGGCCGCCGCAGTGCTCAGCGATCCTAGGCCCTGGGCCGAGGAGGAGGAGGAGGAGGAGCTAGAAGATGCAAGAGAGGACGACGAGGCAAACCCACTGGCTTCCCGCTGCTTCTTGGCCTCCGCAAGCTGCGCCCGGAACGTCTTCTGCCGGCTGTTGAAGGTCTCGTGCTGGTCCGGCTGGATGTCGCCCAGGGTCGGCGGGCGGTCGCTCCGGGTCGCAACCGAGCTTGTAAATGTCCTTATCGCGGGCGTCTGCCGGGCGGCGCGAGCGATGCGTTGCGAAATCATGGCTTCGGTCGGCGATGTTTTGACGAGGAGTGTGGCGGATAATGTCTGAACCCTGAAATGAGGGGAAGCAGGCGGCTCGCGTGAGGTGCAGAGCTAGCCGGAGGCAAGCAAACGCGCAACGCTCTGATTGAGACGAAACAAACGAAGCACGCAATCGCTGAGTGATGAGGGCCGATTTTACCGATTGAAGAATTATCGATCGAACAGGTGGGACGAGGTGGTGCCGCGAGAAGCCGAGGAAAGAGCAGGACGAGACGCAAAACGCAACAACAGCACGGCAGAAAACGCTTGGGCAGACAAAAGGGGCCGTTTGCCAGGCAGCTTGTGATTGCGGGAGTTACTCCTGGGTATGAGCACTGCAGGAAGGAACGGCAAGCGGGAAGCTAGATTGGGTATCGTATCAAGTGCGAGGTGAGGGAAGGAGAGGTGAACGAAGAGGAGGGGAGTGATGCAGGTTAATTGGATGGCAGAAGCGGGTGTTACGCAGACCTCTTCACCCCGCACTTCAAAGGACGGTTGAGATGCGGAGGAGATCGAACAGGAGGAGTTGCTGGTTGCTCTCCTGCTCAGCTTGACTCGAGGTCAGCTGCAAGCCAGGGTCCAGAGCCCAGACCATTCACTGTCTGACGGCTGCAGCCTGCCTGGAGGGAAAATGCCGGGGCTGATGATGTCACAAAGCTGGGGAGACAGAAGCTCCACTGTCAGTCTGAGCGGAGAATCATTTCCACGAATCCGAGCTGACCCACCAAATATGAGAGCTCGGCAAGTTTGATGCCTCACATTTGAGGCTTCAACCCTCAGGAACCATTCGATTCGGCTGCTGCTGGAGCATCGGAAGTTGTGCCGCGAAAAACGCTCGTTTCTGACCTGGCAACTCCATCACAAACACCACCCAAACCTCCGTCGTCACCGCCAGAAGATACCGCCACGATGTCTTGGCTCGGCGTCGCTCCCTTCAAGAAGTTCCCGACGCCAGTGTGTACGTCGATTGGCCCATCAAAGAGCACTGTCGTCGTCGCTGGCGGCGCGCATGGAGCATCTGAACGGGCGACAACAACTGACAATGACTCGCAGTGCGTCCCATGGCTCCCTTTCTGGCTGCCGGTATGCCTTGACTCTACAACCCTCAAATTTTTTACAACAAATTCGCCGTATCACCGTCGAGCACACAGACTAACGGTCCCTGCAGCCGCCGTGATATTCTACGGCGTCAACTCGGCCCAGAACGCCATGATGAACTGTACGCCCACATCTCGATAATCCATCCCCGTTCTCCCCAAAACTGACAGCATGGCACAGCCGACGAGTTCAAGAACGACCCCCGCAATCCCAACGTGAAGGCCGCGCACTAGACGGAGAACGTTGGGTGGCGACGCCGTGGAGCGGGCGAGAGATGGACGACGCGGCATTTCCTTGATTCGATATCCCGAAGAGCTGTCCAGTAACACGGACTTGTATCATAGAGCAGCCAACGTCAATTGAGCTGTTGATCTCGGTCCCGTGTGTGGTGAGGCGTGGAGGGGTGGACTTCTAGAGCATGGTTTTGGCGGCGCTCTCTTTCCAGCATGCTTCGGGGATCCCGTCCATGAGGGAACCCAGTTTGTCTTACCAACGCAACCGATGGAAGCACCGGTTCGCACATTTGCCAGTTGACATGCTGATCTCAGCATGTCTATCGGCATCCACTATCAACTCCCCATTGTTGTGGATGCTTTCGCTCTGGCATAGATCAAACCACCCGTTGCTGGGCGCCCGCATTGAGAGTTCGTCTTGATACTCGCCGATATGTCGGGAATCAGTAGAGGTTACATTTGACTATGAGGTTTTAGGTTGTCTAAGGTACCTGGCTTTTGTGCCCGTTTGCTATCCCCTTCATCTCGAAGACGAGCACCCGGTACATGGCACCGGCGAGCGTGCGTCGCCCTGTGTTTTAGCTCATATCTCGAAGACTAGAATACAATAACTAGCCGTGACTTCATTCCGTGCACTGCTTGAGCCCTGCTGAACCGTCACCTCTTTTGCCCCACCGACCTTAGCTGATTTTCTCAAATCCGGAACAGCGCGCAGGCGGCGTGACTAACTTTGCCGAGGCTCACTTGACCTACAACTCTCACTTCAAATACAACCCGAAACACATTTCATGCCACTTCTTAGACTGGCAAGCCCGCCAGCACTTTGCAATCGCACATTGTTCGTCTTTCAACATCATCATATCAGAAGAAACGCCTTCACAACCACAATGAGCAACTCATCCAGCAACCCTCTTTCGCGGACCGACTCACCCGCTCAACCATCATCAACCCGGTCATCAACCCCGAGGAACAACGCCACTACAGCGGGGACAACCAAACAAGAAGTCCGGATTCTCATGCTCCACGGTACTTTATCCCCCTTCCCCATTTCCAGTTTTGGCTTGCCCCCCTAGGCAAAAGCGCCGACACTACCATGAAAATACTTTTTACTGACCCCAAACAAAGGCTACACCCAATCCGGCCCCCTCTTCCGCGCGAAGACGCGGGCCCTCGAGAAACTCCTCGCCAAAGCCCTCGCGCCTGCCGGCCTGGTCCCAACCCTGCTGTACCCCACCGCGCCGAACCGGTTGTCGGTCAGGGATATACCGGGGTATGAACCGCGCCGTAGTGGTAGTAGTATTGAGGAAGGCGGGGATGCTGCTGAGGAGGTGGATTATGGACTGGGGCAGGCAGAGGAAGAGAAGGAGGAGATTGACTCGTGGGCGTGGTTTCGGCGGGATGAGGCCACGGGGAGTTATAGGTTTGTTAGGGAGGGTATGGGCAGGTTGGCTGAGGTTATCAATGCGTCTTCATCTTCTGCTTCTTGTCCGAGTGGGAAGGGGGATGAGCAGAGTGAAGAGGCAGGGGCAGGGGAGAAGGAGCAGCAGCCTGGGTTCATTGACGGGGTGATTGGGTTCAGCCAGGGCGGGTGCATGGCAGGGATGCTGGCGTCTGCTTTGGAGGAAGGGAGGACAGGCCAAGACCTGCCGATGGAGCACACCGGTTGGGTGGGGGCGGTGCGGGAGGCGAACGGCGGGCGGCCGCTCAAGTTTGCCGTGGTGTACAGCGGCTTCTATGCCGTGCCGGGGGATCTGGCGTGGCTGTACGAGCCCAAGATCAAGACGCCGACGCTGCATTTCCTGGGCAGCCTGGACACGGTCGTGGACGAGAGCCGCAGTCGAGGGCTTGTCGAGCGGTGCGAGGCGCCCGTGGTCTTCACACACCCCGGCGGGCACTATGTGCCCGTCAGCAAGGAGTGGGTGATGCCGCTCGCGGGGTTCATCAAGAAGTGCCTGGATGGGGAGGGTCAAGGGATGAAGCTGTAAGGGCGCGTCACTTGGGGCTGATTGCATTTCGGGATCTGTATGACTTTCGGAGTCATGAGTCAATCTGGCTGGCCCGAGTGCAGCAACCTACAAATACAAGACGGATAGATGATAGATCCTCGATATACACTACAGAACGGCCTCAGATATTCCGAGAACGCCCCGTCACCGACTCGGGCGGCACCTCATTCTGGTCCGACCGCTGATCCGGCACCGACTCGGGCGCCTCATAGTATTCCCCCTTGAACTGGCTGCCCCGGCTTCCCTGCGAGGGCACCTCCTCTCGGCTAGTCGCTTCAAGACCGACGTTCGACTTGGCGGCCAGCCGGCCTTGCTCCGAGACGTCACCTTGCCTCGCGGGCTCCCGACGACGGCCGCCGACGGCCTCATCCAAGGGCAGCAGGTCCGGCCTGCTGGGGTCCACCATCTCCCGCTCCAGCTGGCGTGGGTCCTTGCCCCAACCCTTGACCGTGGCCTCGTCAATCTTTCCCGGGCTGTGCTGGTAGATGTGGGCTGTCTTGTCCTCCGGGCCGCCGGCGCCCTCGTAGGCGGATCCGCGGATGAAGCTGTCAAAGGGTTCAAAAGTCAGACAACTATTCCTCGTCGTCTCCTGCAGAGGGTTGGAAGTGGGGATGCTCACCGGCCGGTTTCATCGACGTCGCCACCCTCGTCGGCGGGGATGCGGCGGTTGTAGCTTCGGTTCGTGATGTTGTTCTCGCCGACCTTGACGGTGGAGCCGGGGAACTTCTGGTCTATGGTGGCGTTGACGCCAAAGTCCTCGAGGCCCGAGGCCCGCCCCTTGCCTGTGCCCGTCTTGGACTGGTATGTGTTCAGGTCACGCTCAGCCCGCTGGGCAATGTCGTTGAGCTGGTCTCTTCCGGGGCCTTGTTCAGACATGGTGGTGGCGTTCTGGGTTTGAGGCTTCTTGAAATCAAGAGTGTTGTTGATTATTTGTAAGATTGCGAAGTGTGAGATGTATGGTTTGCTCTACGAATCTTCAGGTTCATTGGAAGCGTCGCATTAATACTAGTCTGGTCGCTGGTTGAAGTCTATGTCGTCATGGTGTTGTCAAATCGTGACGGACAATGGAGACTGGAGACGACGAACAGGGGATGATCGGCGAGATGCAGCCCACAAATTATCAGTCGAAAGCCATCGGCGGTTTTCTGACAGCAATTCTTCTATACGTCGATGCTTCAAATTGGCAGGCCATAATATCAAGTGTAAGTGCTTCGGCCTGTGGTGTCGCTGATCGCCGAGTTGGAACCTGCTTTATGTCACCAAATCAAATCGAAGAAAGCAACCACTTAAGGTAAAGGTACGGAACTAAATACTTCATACTGGATGTTCATTTACAGGAAGGAGAAAACCGGTTTTTGGGAATCTTGGTTTGTCATGAGCTGAGAGTTGAAAGGCACCCCATGCATCCCACTCCTAACATGTACGACCTGCCCGAGTGCTAGATGTCGAGTCAAGCTGATAATGTGAACTCGTTGTCCTATTCCAGGAATAACTTTGCTAGAGAACAATGTTTAACTCCACATGAAGTCCTTCGTGTCTTTCGGAATGTTCGATCCCCGAGAAGAACTTGAAGACTGAGCATGTTAGCAAGGGGTTCAAGCTGTGTTGCCACGGCAACTGCACTCAGGGGGAGATTCAACCATTTACTTCTGGTAAGATAGGAAAAAATTTATACCACGTCCAGGGTAACGTCAAAGAGTTGCAGCGATAGGTGGTTCCCATCGGCGTATGACTTGCGCTCTTCTCTCTCCAGTGACATGCATTGGGCCGTATCTGCGTGCTTACTTATATATTAGCACAGTCCAATGAACGTTTCAATGTTCGTAATCGTTGTCCACGTTGCGGCTACAGGGTATCAGATTGGATTTTGTGTACTAAGGTAGTCAATGCTTGAGGACCGACACAACCCGGTTTGGTGAGGGACCAGGTAACACTTCTGGTTCGGATGGATGATCTGCCCCGGCAGCAGGTCGACCAGCGTTTGGTGTAGAAGATCTCCGTTCTCCAATTTCGACGACCACTGAGGGTGATCTCCTCGGGCCTCAAAGCTCTGCGGAACTTTTAAACTCGCAAATTAGAACTTTCCAGTTCGAGTCCCAGTGAGCCCCTGGGACAAGAAAACGCCACTCCCCGCCCCCAGCCCCCCCCTTCCCCTCGGCCGGGGAAACCCGGACGTCGGCTATGTCATAGCTTACTCAAGGACAAAACACATAGAAAGAGAGAGCTCTGAACAAGCTCGCTTGCTCAACATGGATTCTGAACCACCCGCGTACCTGGTAGCTGAAACTCAGGGGTGAGAGAGGCGCTCTCAGCTTTTTTGCTTCCTGTCAGAGGGAACTTTTTGATTGCAACTTGAACAATGTCCAAAGGGCAGAACAGTGAAATATTCGATGGGTATTCCTGCAACTGAATTCCATCTACGGTACTAAACAACAAAGAAAGTGCCATAGAAATTCAAACGCCAGCACCACCCCCCTAGACAATCTGACCCGTGATGCCCCAGCCCTCTCCATTTCCACACCCGGGCAACACGTTCAAGCTCTCCTGTGTCTCAACCCTCGCCTCCAAGATGGCATTCGCCTCGGCGTCGAGCCCCTCAGTTCTGAGCCTAGACTCGACCAACAACGACGTCTGCAGCCAAAACAAATCCCTGCCCGAATCCAAGCTCTTCCACCGATACACAGCCGCCTTGTCCCTCTGGCCCGTATATTCGGCAATGCTCGCCATGAAATAATACGCGCTAAACACCAGATACCGATCGACATAATCCCACTGATCCACCCTCCTCCCGCGATTCCCCTCCTTCCGCTCAATCCGTTCCTTCAGCCCCCTCAAAATCTCCTCGGCCCGTCGCGCCGTGGCGGGCGTAAACAGCGGGACGTACATGCGCACGAGCAAGTCTTCGAGTTCGAGAATCCGAGAGGTTGTCGCGAACGCGCCCCGGTGGGCGAGGGATTGCGTCACGGTGGTCCGGAAGGACGCGATGATGTCGCCCGCCATGGCGTGCGTCGGGTCGACGAGCGTCACGTAGCCGCGCTTGAGGTGGATGGTTACGTCGTCGTGGTCGCCTCGTACCCGGCTGACGCAGTCAATCCAGATATGCCAGGCGCGCGAGATGAAAGCTTGGAGGTGCTGCCAGTTGGCAGCTGCTCCTCCTGTAACTGTTGTTGACGTTGGTGTCGTTGTTGTTGCGGTTGTCGTCTGGAGGGCGAGCCGCTGCAGGGAGGCGGCCACCCTCGTGATGGGGTGGTGCGGGAGCTTGATGCGGGTGTAGCTGTGCAGGTACCGGCAAAAGATGGACAGGATGTCGGTCCAACCCATGGTGAGGACCAGCTGGGGTACGGCCAGGCAGCAGTCCCAGAGGGCTTCGATGTCGAGGCTGCCGCTGCGCTCCGGGTCGAGGGCCGCTTCGATGCCGAGGAACGCGCGCCGGAGCATGTCACCGCCTTGGTGCGGACGGCCGGCCAGGAAGTGGTCCTGGGCGGAACGCACGTGCTGCAGGATCGAGTTGTCCCGCGGCCCGAACAGCTCCGTGCTGGACCGGCCCCCGAGAGTTGAATCATCGGTTTTCCAGGGCGTCTCGCGCTCGGACCAGTGGGTTATTAGGGCGGCGTACGCGCTGAGTGTAATTTCGACCTGGAATTCGTCGTCGCTGAAGTATGGGAGGTAACCGCGCTGGGAAAGGAGTGTTAGCTCCTGTTGTCTTTTTGCTGCGCTCGGTTGCCAACCCCCGACGGCATGGGGCGGCTGTTCCCTGGTCCTCGCGCTCCTCCTTTTTGCGACCCTCGACTTTGCCGATTTCAACAATGCGTTGCTGTTAGTTTTGTTGTACTTGGTCCACTTCCATTTCGCAAACTGGCCTTTGTACATTCTCGCACTACAAGACAAAGTGTCAGACCACGACCCATTCCATTGTTTGTGGTTTTCAGGGGGGGAACGTGTACGTTGCTTTGAACTTGTGTTTGGTCAACATGACCTCAATGACTTCGTTCAAAATCTTGTTTTGGTCCATGTAGAGCTCCCGGATGATCTGTTTTCGGGCCTCCCAGTCGGCCTGGCTTGAAGGAACTAGCGGACGTTCTGGCAAAGGTTCGGTGACGGAAGCTGCGGCTTGAACTTCCACATGGCGAATTGAGGACGTAATATTTGACGCTTCGGAGTTGTGGCATTCGACGGACTCGGCTGACTGGGAGAAGGAAGTGGATGTCAAGGGCAAGGACTGATCCGCTGAGCCGTTAACAGCATTCGGGGTAGTGAAGGGTGGTTCCATTTCTCCGACTTTGGATAAATCACGAGGACCTCGAGCTCTGTACCAGCCTGGTAATCCGCGCAAATACAGCTGGTGATTGTTGACTAAGAGAGGACCTGGGATGGTGAAGGCGTTGGATAGGAGTGACATGATCGCAAGAGTCGAATCAGGGCTGGCTGAGGGCATGATGCAGCGGAAAGAGACAAAACAGCGGCGAAGGTCGCCCGCTGAATATTAATGCCAGTGACGAGTGATATCGCTTGAGGTTGCGCTTCGGATACGGCGAGTTGGACAGAAAGCGGGTGTGGGATTGTTGGCAGGTGTAGCTAAGTTCAGTCAGTTCATCAGGACATCGAACTGTGGCCTTCAAGCTTCGCGTTAACTAGGTTGGATATTTACCTTACCTCAGGTTAGAGTTACCCGTGCCTTGTCCTTGACTTGCATAGCAGTTGTGCCACCCAACGTGGAAACCCACATGGCACACACCTCGGCTGCGTGGTATGCAGCCTCCCTGACCCCTTGCCTGTGCCTCCGTCATCTCTCTGCACAGGTGTTGATAGGTGGCGGGCCATACCCACAAGCATTCACAGCTTGGACACTGATTTGCCTTGTTACGTGGTACACGATTCCGCGCTAGGCACAACTCATCTGCGGCGCCATCACGCTGTCTTGTCTGAAATACGTCCTCATTGCCGCCATCTTCCTTCCATCTGTCAACTTTTCAACGGGAGTTGGGCAAACCCTCGGAAGAAGGGGTTGTCGATGATTCCAGAATAAATGTGATAGAATGATCCTGATGACCTCCCGTGTCGCACAAGGATCGGAAACACATCCTGGCGGTTACCTTGGCCTCTACCGCAATCCGTTCAAGGACAGTTCCTTCGGCCGAGAACATGAAATCACACTCAGAGTGTCTAACTTACTTCAGTAGTGGAAGGGGTTTGATTGGACTGCAATAAGTCACTGTAATACTTTCAGTGCTGATGGAGGTTGAAGAAATCCATTAACTAACGTTCTTTTGGTGACTTTCCATTGTCTGCTGGAGAAAGGTGAAAGAACTGAAGTTGAATCATGGAAGGTACGAGCTACTGCTCAAGCCTCTAAAGGCAATCCGAGTCAACTAAAACAGTGATAACACTGATAAACTAAAGAGCAGACGTACTGTACGTAACGAACCTTGCCCCGACGAAGGAAACCGCCTCAGTTTACGGCGCATGTCAAAAATAAATGTTTCCGTCTCCACACCCCTTTATTAGTCCATACAACATGAGATAGAGTTAAATCTTTGATTGTGATTTTTGTCAGTGAACCCGACGAGTCGCTCATACCCCCAGTGCTTCTCTTCAACAACTTTCTGTCATGTTATTTTTTGTTACCCTTCCCGAGATTCCGATCACAGAAGCAACAAGATCCTGCTCGCCAGACTTGCCTAGGTAATCATTGGAATAGGGTTTCAGCTCGGTGTTCGTCAGAGTCAAAGTCGACAGTGGCACATCATGATGTGATGACTCTGTCTCCACGCCCGACCTTCCGAGACCGACAACAGTCAAGCAGGGCAAATTCGGATCTTGCTCGGTGATCACCGGATGTAGCACGGTGAGGGAGAACCTCGTCTCCACCATCCCTGACGCTCATTGCACCAATTCAGATTTCATTGGCAACTGAACCCAGTCTCACAATTCACTATCCACCCTCTGCCGACGGTAACTGACCAGTAGTTCAAGAACTGTACACCATCGAGGTGTAGCTTGGACAATTCGAGCTTCATGCGGCGACTCTGACTCGGATGGTTCGGCCCAGAACGAGACTGGCGCGAGACTCACGACGCGTCGCTTTTTGCACTAACTGTTCTTGACTTGAGGGCGACCATCTCGGGCTTTGATTTTCGGTCCGACATCTGCAACCCGAACCGCTGCCCCCAGGCTACAGCCTATCGTCCAGGTAATTACCTGACACGTTATCTGCACCTCCCAGCGTCACACAGTCTATTGCACTCTGGTTACAGACTTGAACATCTGACTCGGCCGGAAGCAATTGTGTCCGTGGACTGGCTCACAAGCTGCTACCTTGGTGTAACTGACAACCTGTCCCAGGGCCCCGGATGGATGTTGCACCAACTCCATGGTCCTAGGCGCCAGTTCTGCAAGCGTCGACCAAGTTGCCGAGAGTCCGAAATGGAGAGACATGCCTGGCTGGGGAGGAGATGGTTTCTTAGATAAAATCAAGTTAGCTGCCCTCATGGGCGCACGCGGGAGATGTTACCCTACGCGGCAGACCTCCCGTCTCTACGGAGTGGCCTCTCGTCGCCCAATGACCGGATGTCGGATAACGGATGGCAGCAACGACCTGGAAGGTGGTCACCGGTGTGTGAGGACGAGCATCTGTTCAGCCTTTACTCCTTGCAGACTAACTCATCGGCTGCATAGGTACCTGTACCATACGAGTGCGTGGTCCGGAATTCGACTGGGATGGCACCTTGACCGTTGGCTCTCCCCCGCTTTCTCGCCCCCTGCTTGGCGCCCCTTCCCCCACAAGCTAACAGCCTGAAGGCAATCTGGACCATGCCTCTTTGCCAGCCTTAAACGAGCCGAACTGGACCTTCTCCGCATGGGGCAGGGTGTTCGCCAAGTGCTCGTGACACCTAGTTTGGTCGGCATTTGACTGCTTATCCAGATTGGAGAATGGAGTCTGCCGCGAGAATCAGAGCTGCAAGACGGCTCCAGTCCATATTAAATTGCCAGGAAAGACCACAGATCGACATGGAGATATTGTTCGACGTTGTAGTACATCAACCGGAGGACGCTGCTAGCCGTTCTTCTCCTTCCTTGACCTCCTTGCCCTCGACATCTTACATTATCTTACATTGACTCTGTGCCATTCCTGCAGTGATCAAGCTCACAAAACCCAGCCCTACCCTGAAGATTGAAACAAAACACCAAGACAACACGCCGGACCCGCCTGAAGAGGGCTCGCGGAATGGCGCCCAAAAGCGACGAGACGTGGAAGAGCCATTGGAAATGTTTTATCGCCTGTGGCATCATTGTGCTCTCGCCCTTCCAATATGGCGTCGACTTTGGTCTCATCGGGGGCCTGCAGGCCATGCGTGGCTTTCTTGAGGTGAGTACCAGACTAGTTGCAACTCCAGTTGGAGAGGTGGCCAAACATCGAAACCTCCGACATTGTAAGTGACCACCGTGACTGACTCGTTTCTGTCCCCGTACCAGGTCTACGGCTACGAGGCTCCTGGCACAGCACTCGGATGGAACATCGACACAACCCGACAGCAGCTGATCTCGTCTCTCATGACGCTGGGCGCCTTCATCAGCTCCGGCACCGCCGGCATCACGGCGGCCTATGTCAGCCGACGACAATGCCTTTGGATCGCGTGCTTCTTCTGCTGCATTGCCAATGTCATGATGATGGCTACCGAGAGCATTGGTGCCCTATACGCCGGACGCTTCATTATCGGATTGGCGAATGGATACTTCATGACGTTTTCCCAGCTCTACATCCAGGAGAGCAGTCCAGCACGGTACCGCGGCTGGTTCCTCACTGCTTTCCAGTTCTTCACGTCTTTTGTGAATTTCCCTCTCCAAGAAGACTATGTATGATTGGAGGATTCTGACAAATACCCAGGGCACGTTGATCGGCACCATCATCGACTGGGCCACCGCCGGCCGGCCGGACAAGTCTGCCTATCTCATCCCGCTCGGCATGATCTACATCGTTCCCGTCATCATGACCGTCGCCCTGTTCTTTATCCCCGAATCGCCGCGCTGGCTCATTCTCATGGGTCGCTACGACAAGGGCGTCGAGTCCCTCCGCTGGCTGCGGCCAGTCGGTGCCGATGTCAACTTCGAGGCATCCGAGATTAGGGCAGCCATTGACAAGGAACGCGAGCTCAGCAGCGGCGTCAGCGTGCTCGACATGTTCACCAACCCCATCGACAGGCGGCGCACCATTCTCTCCGTGTGCGCCGTCACGCTGCAGGCTGCGTCGGGGTCCATGTTCATCATTGGTTCGCGATCTCTCTCTCTTGATACTAGGGCATCGATGATGGGAACTGATGCTGACTCCTGAACAGCATACAAAGCCTACTTTCTCGGCATGTCCAAGGTGGCCAACCCGTTCGGCATGAGCAACGTGCTCAGCGCCATGGGCATCCTGGCCATCTTCTTCAATTCGCTCATCGTGGTCCGCTACGGCCGCCGCCGCGTCATCATGATGGTCGGCCTCGCCCTGTGCGGCGTTTTCCAGCTCATCATCGCCGTCGTCTACGACAGGCTGGGCGGCACCACGGCGACGGGCCAGGTCCTCGTGGGCTTCACGTGCGTCTACATGATGAGCTACAACGGCATGATCGCGACCTATGCCTGGCTCGCCGGCGGCGAGATCCCCACGCAGCGGTTGAGAAGCTACACCTTTGGCCTCGCCGCCGCTTGTGGCTTCTTCTTTGCCTGGCTGACCACCTTCACCGCGCCCTACTTCATCAACCCGGCCTCGCTCAACTGGGGGCCCCGGTACGGCTTCATCTGGTTCCCGTCGTGCGTTGTCGCGGCCCTCTGGGTGTTCTTCTACTTGCCTGAGACGAAGGGGCGTACGCTTGAGGAGATTGATGAGATGTTTGAGGCTAGGCTGCCGGCGAGGAAGTTTAGGAAGCATGTCTGTGTTGGGCATGTTACGCAGCAGGCGGCGGAGAAGAAGGAGGTGTCGGAGGAGGAGGTCGAAAAGGTATGTTGACTTAGCAATGTAGTGATCGATGTTAGATAGATGCTGATGATCCTGCTTAGGCAATGGCTGAGGTCCAGCATGCGGAACAGAAAGCTTGATGCTGCCATCTATCGGGGGGACCCCGGTAGCTTGGAGTTAATTAGCTTCTAGCACAGGCAGAATTGGGAGGTGAAGGAAATCGGGTTTTGTGTACCATGTCGTCGACTAGGTCTCGGGCTATAGCCATGACAAGATATATCCTGCCTTGTGATTGCAGTTATCGTGACAGGTTACTATTATATGTAAGGCGCTGTCATCCTGCTCCTGTGCTCACGGGTTGTAGCTGTCTTTATGACTGGCTGGAGACTGGGATTCATCAATGTAAGTGGGAGTAAACTCGTAAGCGACATGTTGCACTAATAGCACCGCCTTCAAGCTAGGTATCTTCCAGAACAACAGCTCACCGTCTTCCCGGGGAACTGCGGCGAAGACCCGGCAGTATTCTTGCGAATAGTCGGATGTGACTCGGACAGGAGGACAGGCGAGTCCCTCGGGGCGGTGATATTTTCTGGCAGTGAGGTGCGAGACCATGGCTACCAACACCAGATCCAGGACGCACGAAGAAACACGTATGGGGTATAATTGCCGACATCACGGCTGCCGCCGCCAAAGAAGTGCTCTGCGCTGTCTACCTTATCCACACCCACCCATCCATAGAAAAAAAAAAGGCCGTCGTATAGAGCGCAAGATCATCAAACCACGCCAAATCGCTGCCAAAGACAAAGGTACCCGGTAGACAGAAACAGAAAACTCAACAATAAGATCCAGCTTGACGTCACATCCCCTTCTGACCCAAATTCACCCCCATTGTACTACCTGTACCCGCCTCCGCCATCATTCACCCCCCAATATCCTTGATTCCCTCCCCCACCACCACCCTGTCCATATCCATTCATGCCGCCATACCCCCCCTGCTGATGATTTCGCCCGCCATACCCACCACCGCCACCACTCCCACCACCCTGATTATACCCGCCCGCCGTATAACTCCTCTGCGGCTGGGGATGCGTCATCTGCTGCTGCGCGGGGCTAGCCGACCGCTGCATCCCACCACCACCACCACCACTAGCAGCATGATGAAGCGACGGCGCGGGCGAGCCGACACGCATCTGCGGGTTCGGGCTGGAGAAGCTGCGGGCGATCGACGGGTTCGGCGAATACTGCTGCGGCTGCGGCACCGGACTTCGCATCCCCTGCTGTTGCTGTTGTCCGTGTGGCTGGGGCGAGACGCTGCGCGACAAGTCCGCGAAAGGGTTCGCGCCCGGGCCCGGGCTGCCGACGCGGGGGGAATGCATGCCGCCGTGGTTGTTGAGGAGCGGAACGGGGCTGCGCGGGCTGCGCATAGCACTGACACCAACACCACCGCTAGCGCCTGCGGCAGCGGCGGCCATGGAGGTGTGATTGGTGGTGGTGTGGTTGTCGAGGGGGGAGGCCGGGTTGACGGGGCCGAGGGTGGGCGAGGGCGGCACGCTGTAGCTGTCCTGGCCGGTCAGGCCGTCGCGGCGCATCTCCTTGGCGTTGTACTCGGACGCCTGGCTGGCAAAACTGTCCGGGTCGACGCCGGCCTTCTTGAAGCGTTCGAGCTCGAGGCGCTCGGCCTCCGCGCGGGCCTCGGCGGCCTTGGCCTCGCGCGCGCCGTGGCGCCGCTGGCGGATGCAGTAGAAGAGGCCCGTGACGAGCAGCAGGCCGACGAATCCGGCTGCGCCGGAGTAGATGGCAATCTTGGCGCCGTTGGGGAGGTCGTTCCATTTCTCCGAGAGGGATTTTTCCGGCGGTGCGTTGATGATCTCCTCGACGGTTGAGTTGCCCCTGAACAAGATGTTAGTGAAATGTAATAGGGGATGTTGTCTTGTACCTACTCGGTGACCTTGATGCTCTGCCACGAGCCACTCCTGTCGGTATATTCGTACTCCTTGCCGTTGCTAAAGTCCTCGACGTGGGCGCTCTTGACTAGCATTTCGAAGGGCCCCTGGTTGTAGTCGGTGTCGCCTCCGGCCCACTCCCGCGTGCCCTTGGGCAGTCTCGGGTCACCGCCGGCCCAGATACCGATGGATAGGCGCATCGGGGTCTGCGGGTAGTAGTAGGTGTTGTTGGCGTCGGCGGGCAGGAGGCGACGGACCTTGGCTCCGTCAATGTAAAAGTCGAGGAAGTCCTTGGTCCAAATCGTCGTGTAGTTGTGATAGTCGTCCTGCACGTTACCCGGAACCTCGTGGTACTCGGCATTGGGGATGTCGGGGATGTGGCCCTTGCCGAAGTAGTTGCTCTGGGCGATGGTCTTGTTACCGCCGAAGAACTCCCAGTCGATCTCGTCCAGGTTGTCGCTCAGCAGCATGATGGAGCTGATGACGCCGGTGCCCTTGGCAGCCTTCATGATGACCTCGGTGCGGCCCCAAAAATAATAAAATTTAGTCTCGATGGTGGGAGAGTCGCCCATCTTGGTAATTTTGAAGGATGCTCCTGTGTCGGGGTGGTATGTAACGGGCCCGACCTTTGTCTTCCAAGCATTGACATTTGGCGTCATGTTGAAGTTGAAGCTGTAGGCCATGCCAAAGCCGGGATCGGGCGGGCAAGTCGTGTTCATGGGGAAGCAATCGGTATGAACCTGGGCGACGGCAGTGCCGACGAAGGCAGACCACGCCAACAGCGCGGCGGCAGGGACGCGAATTGAGGATGGCCACATGGTGTGTTTGAGTGGACGAGACGTTGCTGTGATGTACAGAGAGATTGTGTTGACTAGGTCAAAACAAAAGTGGCCTTGTCGAAAATGTGAGGTGGTGAATTGCCGCTCTCAACGGTCAGTGTTGCATATCGTTAGTTGTGAGTCGCCAGGACTGTGATGATCGTCGAGAGTCAGAAGAAAAAACGTGGAAAACGGAGAAATCGTCGTCAATAGATGCCAGGTCAACAGCAAAGAAAGGGCGTCGCTCGGTGCGACGAAATGAGCGCAGTTCGCACAACAGGGCCAATTCGGGCGCCTCAGTCACTGGAGGTAAGGAGTGTGTTTGGGATGAAAAGAATAAGGCGGCCGTGGTTCAAAGGAGCGGACTCGGAGCGCCGAGTGCAGTGGTGCAACGGTGCACCAGATGAGTGCCTCGAGCTGTCGTCGGTGACAACCGAAAAGAGACGAACATGTCGGCGACGGGCGGGAGAATGAGAAGGGGTAGAAAAGGGGCCGCCATGATACGCAGGTACCACTTGGAACGGCTTGGCAATCAAGGTTAATTCACCTGAAACGGGATAGCCCGTCGACTGCACGAGCCACTTGCCGGGTGCCCCTGGAAGCTGCAACGTGATCCGCATTCCGACTTTACCAGTTTGCACCTAGCTTTGTTCTCAAGCGCGAATCAGATACCGCCATTTTCCCAAATTGTCTGCAGCTCGGTCTTGGCTCTCCCGGGAACGCTTGGCAATGATTAGCGATCCGGCTGTTCGGAATCTTGCATCCAGCCATCGAGTTTGAGTGCTCGAGAAAGCAAGCACTCCAAGCAATCAGTGTGCAACGTCCTCGGATTGGGTTGTTCTCTAGTTCGATGAACAGGCGTCCAATACCTCTGTATTTGTCCCAAACACACTCGAGGATTCTCCACAAGCCCATGCCAGTGCAACAGTCAGCCAAGCAAAAGAACGAAAGTCGGGATTGCTTGGCTCCGCTTGGCGCACTTCACCGGCTTCTGAGATCCAAAGTCGCCGTCAATGTCCCTGGGCCGTCCCCAGCAAACAATGAGAGGGTATGGATAAATCTGGTCCTGCGACTTCGACCTCCAAGCGAAACTCACGCCCTCCTTCTCAGGAGATCCGGTGATCCGAAACGTACAAGGCGAGCTTACACCGTCTCGACATCCCGCAAGGACACAGCCACCCACATGTCGCTCTGCAGAAAGAGGTTGTAGTTCGCGCTCTTCCACGGCCGGGCGGGATTCGCGAGCTGAAAGTCGAACCGCCTCAGCAACTAATACATCACTCAAACGTCAGCTATGTCCATTCTCTCAGTTTCTGCAGCTGCACCTCAGAAAGAAAGAGCAACGAAATATAGAGAGAGACTTTACCTCAACAAACACCTTATTCAACTCCAGAAACGCAATCATCTTGCCCGCACACCCCCACCGCCCATACCCAAACACCAGCTCGGCCACGCGCCGCATCTCGGCCCTCTTCTCAGCGTCAGCTTGTTCCAGCCAGCGCTCGGGACGGAAGATGTCGGCGTCGGCGCCAAACACCGCCGGCAGCCGGCCCGTCGCCCAGAAGTTGGGCGCGATGAGCGTCCCCGCGGGGACCGGCTTGCCGTCGATGGTGTCGCCGCCGGGGGCCACGACTTTGAAGGGCAGGCCTGTGAAGGGCGGGTGAATGCGCAGGCCTTCGAGGATTACCGCCTTTTTGGGGGGGGAGGTTTTCACGGTGATGTTAATGACTCAGCCATCGGGGATGGAGAGAGACCGGGGGAAGTTGGGTTTTTTACCTGCAGATAGGGCAGCTCGTTCGCCTCGGCGTTGGTCACGGGGCTGGAGATTCTGTTGGTTCTGATGCCCTCGTCGATCTCGGCCTGTAGCGCGTGGTAGGCGCGCGGGGTGCACATGAGGTAGAGCATGGTGGCGCGGATGGTAGTGGCGGTCGTGTCGGAGCCGGCGAGGATCTGGATCAGGGCTTCCGTCTGGCACTCGCGCTGGGTCAGGCCGTGGCGGATGAAGGAGCCCTGGCCACCAGTGTAAGTCTCTTGTCCCGTGCCATCGAGTTTTACTGAACGAAATCGAGGGTTGGGGGGAAGAGGGGAGCGAGGACAAACACACTAGCATGTCGTCCTGTTCCTTGGCATCAGGGCCGAACCGCTTTGCCACAACGTCCATCCCTATCCTGAAATTCGTGTTAGTTCCCGGCCAAGCCCCAAGAAAACAGAAGAAAGAGCGGCCGACTTCAGCATTCTGCCAACCCCTCTCTTGTCCTCTGGCTTCGGTCCCATCAGCTTAAGCACGAGTTTCGACCCCATGACGGCACGGAGGATCGGAACAACAGCGATCGTGACCACGGGAGCCGCAATCTCGTTGACAATCTCCATGTGCCCGTGGATGTCACGCTCCTCGCGGATGAGGCCAAACTCCTCCCCAAACGCGATCTTGGAGATGGAGTCGAGCGTGAAGTACTGCGCCATCGTCGCCAAGTCCAGCAGCGGCTTCTTCTCCTCAGCGCCTGCGCCGCCTGTCGACTTCGCGCCGGCGACCGCATACTTGCTTCGGATCCTGTCCACCATCATGGCAACAATCCGGTCGACCTCGGCCTCGAGAGTCGGGTGGTCCCTGCCGGTATACCCGGGCGCCGTCTGGGCCTTGAGCCGGTCGTGCGTCGCCGTGTCGAGCGTGCTGAACATGGAGTCGTGGTACGGATCCACGCCCACCATCTTGTACCACGTCGACCGCGCGTACCGGGACCGGGCCGCCGACGTGCGCCAGATCACGCTTGGGTCGCTCGTCAGCAGCTCGTTGGGGCCGATGCGCACCGTCGAACCGGACCCGCCGGTTCGTGTGCCGCCGTACTTGGCGTCCGCCGCAGCCCATTCCTCCCCCATGCGCCCGCTGTACGAGGCCCGGGCGAGCCAGTAGTGTGAGAAGGAAGCCGAGAAGGGGCCGTTGAACTGGCGCAGGCGTCGCCAGGCCAGGAGGGAGGAGACCGCATAGGTCAAGATGACGGCCCCGTTGATGGCGAGGAGCCAGGCGCCAGCGGTGAAATTGAGATTGACTCCCGCAGTCAGCAAGTCCATGTTGTTCTCTGTGTGCGAGGTGTCGTCGGTGAGGATGCTTCAAGCTTAGTGAGCATAAAGGCGGGGATTGACTCTGCTGTCGCTCAGCCATGTCGTGCAATGCCCTGTGGCGTCCAATAGGCTGTTCGTGTCATGTCGTTCCACACCCTTTGGCTGCTACCCTGCTGCCGGGATCCGCGAGGTGCTAACGGTTGACTGTCGTTATGACCCCAGCCCCAAGTCGATCCGCGTGGGTCCTCTGAGCCTTGTTTGGATGAATTAAGTCTCCCAAACCCCGTTAGGCCGTCGCAGTCCGTCAGTTGCAAAATGCCTGGAGCTCGCCAGATGTCGCTCAAACAGAGGCGGTTCAAAGCATGTAATGTAGGCCATGGCCGTCTGTACAAGCGTCAAGTATGCATTAATGTACTTGTACATTGTGCACGAGGTTGACCGCGTCTTGTTTGTTGAAATTTTACTCACGCATTCCCTTCTAGTCCATGTCCTCCTTCATCCTACCCGAAATAAACTCAACTACCCAAGAAAGGTACGAACCTGTTCACGGCTATGTAGACGCCGACAGGCTGCTCCCGTATTGAGACAAAGTCCTCGATGTAAAAGTACAGCCGGCAGAACGCATAGAAACGGTTCCTATGAGGGGCAGGACGATCACGTGGAGCCCCAGCCCCGTGTCCGGGTCCCCGTCCGGTAAGATGACTCGCTTTCTCTTCACCCAGGCGGCAAAGGCCCGGAGTAGCCCCTTAACCCTGCCATGGATTTGTCCCCGCGAAGAGGCCGAGTCCGCCTTAACATCGTAGAAAGTCTTGCTTAAACCGGTTTGTTGTTCCACTTCTGGCCTTCGCGCAGGAGTACCCCCTCTGTGCTGTTGCCGATGAGAATGCTCGGTGGGCTGCCGAGAAGGATCCTCGTCCTTCCAGTTTTCGTGCAGGGGCCAGGAGGAGCAGACACCGTACACGCCCGTGCTCATGGCGTGGTACACGCTGCAAAGACGCTAGAGCAGCTGCTCTTCTTGAGTGGGGAAGTGGAAGTTTCATGCCGCCAGCGGTGCCAGACTAAATGCCACGTTGAAATGAGTGCTGGCACGAGAAAAACACGGTCGGGGACGAGAATTGCGTCGGAGGGGAACCGGTCCCTTGGGTTGCCTTGATGGCGCGTGAGAACAGGGGGAGCTTGATTCTGAACGAAATCTCCAGGTAGTAGGACCGGTAAATTGTCGGGCTGAAAGCGCCGGTTTGGGGAGACAAAGTCGAGCGGAGTCCGATACCAGGTCGAGAGGGAAGCGCGGGATGGGTCTTTGAACGTCAGCCCAGTCTCTTTGATTACGTAGCCAGGTGAATGAGTTTGAGTAAAGAGACATGAACGCACCGACTTACTAGCCATGTTCCGGATTTCTTCGATGCTCCTCCCGCCCTTGGTGTGGAGCATCGTAGGAACGGAAATCGTTGGTTTGGCAAACCAGCAGAGCGAGGTGATGGACATGGTGATGGAGAAGGTCAGGGCAGTCAACTCGAGCGTCGTCATTGACAGGCCTTGCGCGACGCGTTGCAACTCCGACACAGTAAACCAGAGCACCTTCCAAAGAGTGATGAGCCTGACAAGCACTGGTCAGTGTTGTTCCGACTCATACATCATCTGCTTCAAGTTGAGGGTGACTGATTTGGATAGATTGTCCGCCTCGTTCTGGGCCTTGATATCGAACTTTTTCAATGTTGGGAATTCAACGTGGCCGTTGCTGACGAGATAATGCAATTGCTCCGTATTGACTGGAAAGGGGGGTCGTTGGGGGCCCCTTGAAGCTTGAACCCTCCCATATCTGCGTAGAAGCCGTGGACCAGAGTCCATTCTGTTGTCTTGGGATGGCGAGACTGGAGTGCTTGAAAGCGCTGAGGAGGAACTTGTTAGTCTTAAGTGTCTCTGAGATCCTACGGTAGCATGTAGGACGGCGACTCGGGAAAGAGGACGTGCTGGGTTATTGGTAAGAAACCTAGGTAACTTCACGCTCCGCCGCGCGCTGGAAAGCTGGCCGAGTGCAATGGCAAGCAAGTAGTCCGGGCCGAGTAATCCGATACAAGCGAGGTTGATCTTGTCGATATAAGAGTGATACCATTTGTCGTTCAGGGACGGGATGTTCGAGAGGTGCAGACCCAGCAACATAGGACGATGGTAACGCATCAGGGCCAGAGAATATCGATGCTCCCGCGTTTATTGTCAGATGGGTTCCAGCCGGTTACTTCGTAGGTGGTGTTGGAGGAGTTTGCAACCGAGCGTGTGACGACTGTGATATCGGGGGCCATGACGATGAAGTAGCCAAACAATTTCAAATGCTGGATCTTGGATTTAGGTCAGGTATCAGGAAGAAAGGAAGACCTAGGGAGCAAGGTAAAGGAGATGGGAGTGAATACCACAGTTTATTCTAACGCTGAACTTGGAGGCCTGACACGCTGCTGGTAAGGCTCCCGGGTGGACAAAGAAAAAAATGAGACACTGCAAGCCTGGATTCTAGTTGCAGGAACTAAGCTGCGGCTGTCACATGGAAGACGGGGTGCAGTGGATTGCCGCCTGGCATCTGTCTCGTAGACCCGGATCGCCTCAGACGGGCCGACGGGAGCAGAGACCTCCAACTATTCCACAGTGATCATCGCCGGTCTTGTGTCGAGGGCGCTAAGAGAAAACGGAACGCATACATACCTGACCGGAGCATTTAGTTATTATCCAGACAATTTCAGTTGACGTGAACACACGGATGACGGCCCTTGCGTCCCTCCATGTTTCCTCTTGACGTCTGCTCCGGTCTGCTGCGGAGTTGATACACGACGAGAGGAATCTGCTGTGTCTTTCCGACGCCATTTGTCTGTTGGTTCCATACCGTGAAATGCCTCGTCAAAGGTGGACGGGGGAGCGTCAACCGTTGGGCGGTTCAAAACTTAAAGCGCCGCCATGCCATGTGGCAGCCCCGCGTCCGCATTGACTGGCTCTGCTTGGCAGAACCGTGAGACGCCGGAGACACTCTTCTGCCACGGATATCAAGTTCTCGATCCTACCAAGTTCCCCGTTTCTCAGAGCTTCTAACACCCGTCCCAGGCAACTCGGTCCTGCTGCTGTGTGGAGTCTTGAAAGCGACGGTCGTCTCCGGCACTCCGCATCGGCCCCCACCCGACCAATCCGCACACTAGCCCTCATCCGACAGAGTTTCCGCGCCAAGCCTCGCCCGTGACTCAAGATCAAGGTGTCTTCAAATCGCCCGAGCCGCATGTAAGGGGATTTCTCAGTGATGCGCCGGCAGGTGTACCCGATTGAAAAGGCTACTCGCGTCAGAGACTGGATACTCTGCCTCGCCATGACCGCCTGGCAGGGCTGGACTCGCAGGTGACGGGCTCTTGCTGCGGCGTCGGCCATGTTTTTCTTACGGGCATCGACTTGATTGACGACTACATCGTCAGAGCGAGAGCACACCGGTCAGTGCGAAACCGGTTTGTAGAATTCAGTCTTTCGCGCCGTTCCATTGGAAGGTTGGAGACGCAGAGGGATAATGTCCAAGTTGAAAGTTGTAGCATGCTCACACGCCTTTTTCCGCCCCAATTGTTCGTGCTCTCTTGACTGTCACGGTTGATTCCGGCTCCATGTTGGGTCGAGCGGGCAGGGTTTCGGTTTGGGAGCTTCTTAGTCTTTCGACTCGTGGACCTGACGATGGATATGGGCTGTCAGCTTTGGTGTAGAACAGCTGCATGTTTCGCAGCAATACGAGCGCTTCGCGCGATGCCAAAGGCGTTTCCGCCATGATCAGGCGACAACTGATGCTGATGTTCGAGCATTTTGGAAGCCGGCGCATCGGTGGTCTCGTTCTCTTTTTTAATATGGCCGACCAGGTCTGAGGAAGTCGAGGGTTAGGGTTACGAGTACCCATACCTGGCTATACGGATACAGCGCTCTCCGTTACGCTATTATCGTATCCAGACCCACCGTTCCATCTGATGCTCTCTCCGTGACCTCGTAATCATCTTCAACAGCCACGGCACCTCAACCACAGCCTTCAACAACCATCCGTAAAGCCCGCTCTCAGCGCTCCGACACTGTTTCAGAGTTTCCGACCTACAACTTGCAGATTCGAAACATTCGCTTGGCCATCGCCGGGCGAGCGATCGACAACTAATTGTCGATTTGCACTTCATCCGCTTCAGGGGGAGCCGAATAAACCGAATACTTTCCGATGGCGGCGACGGCGGCAGTTTAGTCCATCCACCGAAACGATACCGATATTCTTCTCCCGACAAACATTCTCCTCAAAGTGCTTGAATCTGTCGACAAGCGAGCTGCGCTCCGACTAGATGACGGGCTACGCAACGGTGGCGTCTGGCATTGTGTCAGGGACTTCCGCGGGCGGCAACATGGTACAGTACGTTCCTCATGTTCGGCATGCCTTCAGAGGCTTTCTGCTAACCATTGTCGCTCGCAGCCAGCGTCGAACCCGCATCCCCAAGCTTGGTGGCGGCCATGCATCCATGGTTAGCAGCATCATCAACTTGGTCAATACCAGTATGTCCGAACGGTCGGGAGGAGGCTTGCTGGGTTGAATGTTGACAATATTGCAGTTATTGGTGCTGGAACGCTTGCCATGCCTTCGGCCATGTCCCATTTTGGCGTCATGCTCGGAGTCCTGCTGATCTTGTGGTGCGGCCTCACATCCGCCTTCGGCCTCTATCTCCAAGCACGCTGCGCGCGCTATCTCGACAGGGGAACGTCCTCCTTCTTTGCGCTCTCGCAGATTACGTATCCGAACGCTGCCGTCGTCTTCGATGCCGCCATTGCTATTAAGTGTTTTGGAGTGGGCGTCTCGTACATGATCATTATTGGCGACCTCATGCCGGGGGTGGCCGAGGCGTTTGGCAGTGCGGACTCTGGCTTTTCATTTCTGGATGACCGGAGGTTCTGGATAACAGCCTTCTTCTTGCTCTTCATCATCCCGCTGAGTTTTCCCAAGAGGTTGGATTCGCTCAAGTACACGAGCATGGTTGCCCTGCTATCGATCGGCTATCTTATCCTTCTGGTCGTCTATCACTTCGTGGCAGACGAGATTCCGAATAAGGGCGACATTCGTGTCATTACCTGGGAGGGCCCAGTGGCTGCGCTGAGCAGCCTGCCGGTCGTTATCTTTGCCTACACTTGCCACCAAAATGTGAGTTGATTTGCGCTAGACTGCCTCGGCGTCATTTGCTAACTTTCCCGTCAGATGTTCTCGATCTTGAATGAGATTAAAGACAATTCGCCGGCCAGCATTGTTGGCGTTATCGGTTCCAGTATTGGTTCTGCTGCATCAGTCTACATCCTTGTTGCCATCACCGGCTACCTCACTTTCGGCAACGACGTTAAGGGGAACATTGTCAGCATGTGTAAGTGGTTCCTTTCCTTTAAGCGTTTTCAGGGATCTAAAACCGCGCAGACCCCCCCTCTATCGCCTCGACGATCGCCAAAGCCGCCATCGTCGCCCTCGTCACCTTCAGTATCCCGCTGCAGATCCACCCCTGCCGCGCCTCTATCGACGCCGTCCTGCGCTGGCGCCCCGGCAACAGCCAGCGCTCGCCGAGCACCTCGAGCGTCGCCTCCGGCACAGCGCCTCTCCTCCCCGCAATCAGCGCCGCCGCTGCCCCAGTTGACAGCCACGGCGCGCCCGTCGTCGCCATGTCGGAGCTCCGCTTCGCCCTCATCACCGGCACCATTCTCGTGCTGAGCTACGTCACGGCCCTCAACGTGTCCAGCCTGAGCCGCGTGCTGGCATACGTCGGCAGCACGGGGTCGACGGCCATCTCGTTCATCCTGCCGGGCTTGTTCTACTACAAGATTAGCGACCCGGACAGCATCTACCACCAGCGTCTGTCCAAGGAGGACGACGACGTTGTGGATCTTGATGACGAAGGTGACGACGACGGCGGTGACGCGGACGGAGAGGATGGCGCATCGGAGCTAGCAAATTCGGGGCTGTTGAGCGTGCACAGCGTGAGGTCCAATGCGAGCGCGGGAGCCGGGTCGTCGGTCTCGCGCTCGCGGTCTCGGTCGCGCTGGCGGTTGCGGTGGAGGCGCAAGTGGCGGTGGGACTTGGAGCACCTCGAGACCGGCCTGCTGCGGAAGCTGTCGCTTTGCTTGTCGGTCTATGGCGTGTGTGTCATGGTGGTGTGTTTGATCATGAATACTTTTTTTGAGCACTAGCGAGGCCTAGGGGCTGGGTTTCTGGTGGTCAGGGTGGTTTGCGTGGCAGGGCCGGCTTATTTTCTGGTTTTGCTAGAGAGGCAAAAGGTAATTCTAGTTGGGGGTGGTTGCATGCATCAACAGCGAGGGGTTGGACAGAGGGGATCATTCAAGGAGTTGATCTGGCGGGCGTTTGGGCGAATGCATTTGGATTTGGAAAGGGTCCCGGGGTCACAGGTGCAGATACTGGCAAATGTATAGGAGTGATTCGATGGGAAAATGAAATACCTGGAAATTGAAATACTTGGATTCTCCGTTTCCCTCGCCCTCCTCATTGGATGTGCTGCATCCTCAAATACCTGGCTGTCTTCCTGTGATGTCGTGGGCAGTGATGGGTAGACAGTGTCGCCGTTCACGGGATTGTTCACGGGATTGTTCGAATAGCCCCTTCAAAATACGCGACTCATTCCTCCTGGAGCAGGGCCGCGGAACTAATCTTCTCTTTGACTAGGCGTGTCACTCGTATCGTACAGGTCTCTCCTTTGGCTTCCCACGCAAGGCCCCCCAGTGCATCCAAGCTCGAGCATCCCAAGCGGCTTATCCACTTTAAGCCCCTCCAACACTGCCTCGCTGTCCCTGACTGAGGTTGTCGCAACATTGCCCAGTGAAGCCCAGTCACCCAGCAAGTAGCCAAAGAAAAGGGCGGAACTCGGGGAGGACGTCCACCGATCGATTCGTCTCTATCGTGCAGTCCAGGACCGGTCTGTCTTCCGCTGCAAAAACAGAAACGCCTTTGTACACGCCGGTATTGTGTATGCACAGGATGTGGAAAAGATAGAATACACTTGGTTCGGTTATGAAGGGATACGTCGTCTCGTTTTCATGCCTTGGTCGCTTGTGGTGTACTGCTTGGGGCCGCTGGCCGGTACTTGGGTGGGAGGATGCCGACCTACAAAAGGCCGAGCAATCAATTTAGTTGTCTCGGTTCTAAACATGGTACGATGGATATCGCACGAGGGGTAGCGTACCATGGATAATAACCTCCAGACGGTGTCTGTCGGCTGGGCGCCCACGCCGATCCAGTACTTTGCCCTCGTCGTGTCCAGCTTGACGTCCTTGTGCAGCCTCCCCGAGTCGTCGTAGGGGTCCTTCTTCGGAATAGGATCGTAAGTGCCAATGACCTCAATCGGACGGCTGTTGCGCGCGGTCCTGTGATGGTGTTAGACGGTTCCGTCGTCTCGAGAAGGGAGGGTAGAAGGGAGGGAAGATGGGAAGGAAGGCGAGGCGCATACCGAGCGTGGGCGACGACGATGTTGTAGAACGGCGCGTTTGTGCGCCCAAAGCGCGCAAGTCTAATTTTGACAACCATTTTCTTTTTTGTTTCTTCAGGAGAGAGCTGGTGGGATTAAGGCGTGGTATCTTGCTGTGATGGCCGCAGTGTAGTTTGATGTGCTGCTTTGGTGTTGAAGTGCTGCTGATTCGATGTTTCGATACCGTGCACAGGCCAGTTCGCTGGAAATTTTGGGCCCAGCAACTGATCGGCCCACCCCATCACCGAAGATAGGCCAATGAGATCCGCCAATCAGATCAAATGGATGACTTACCTAAGGCGCACCTACCCGTGCTGAGCCTGGCTGTTACATCAGGAGCTGCGTTTCCGCGGCCAGGGTGATGTCAGTTGAATCGATTCCCCTCCTAATAAGACCCGCCAATTCTAAGTTGAGGGCATTGCCGTCTCTGTTTGCTCAGCACATTGCACAAAACTCAGTCTGCATTGAAGCGGTGATAAAACAAACTGAATCTCCTGAGGGATCCATCCTGTTACTTCCAATGGCGCTTAAGGTGTGTTTGTTTTTGTCAAAGGATTACATCCGCCCTGCAAGCCCTGATGTTTTGGCATCTTCCCCCTCAAACACTGCGTCATCCATCTCTAACAATGTTACCGAATGGACCAGACGCTTTCGGCAAAGGCTGCCGCGGCCTTGGACAAGGAGTTGATGAGCACCGGTGCTTTCTCCCTCGACCAGCTGATGGAGCTTGCCGGTCTCTCAGTGTCTCAAGTTGGTCGGTTCAAAATCGTCCGTTCTATCTGGGTTGAGGAAAATGTGTTCTGACCAATTCCTTGCAGTCTACCGAGTTCATCCCGTCAATAAAGGCAGAAGAGTTCTGGTTGCTGTCGGTCCTGGCAACAATGGTGAGCCGCCTTTGTTTACTTCGGGGACGTGGTCAGTGCGCTCACCAAGAGTCATTCAGGGGGTGATGGTCTGGTTGCGGCCCGCCACCTCCGCCATTACGGTTACCAACCGAGCATCTACTATCCAAAGCGGCCAAAGAACGGTCTTTACCAGGTAATGAGTCTTTCCATCCTCTTCGCGCGTTGAAGCGTCGGAGTCAACCGTGCTCTGGCTGGTGCCGTTTAACCCTGAACTGAGATCGTCTGAGTGGACATGTCTCTATTAGCTCTAAAGCTATTTTCCAAGATGGCAACACCTTGGCATGCGCTGCTGTCAGCCGTCGTGTACTTGCTGTCGCCTTGTCGCATGTGTCCGGCCAGCCCCGTTGGTTCTCTCTCCTTTGGTAGCCGCTAATTCGTGTATGCAGCGGCTCGCCAAACAGCTCGAAGACCTCGATGTCCCCTTTGTGGACGACTTTCCGACCGCGCTGCAGTCAGCCGACCACGTTATTGACGCCATCTTCGGTTCGTGCTTCCCCTTTCCCCTCTTGCTCGTTCTTTGTTGGAGTCTCCTAACTGAATCATCGTAGGCTTCAGCTTCTCGGGCGAGGTCCGGGAGCCGTTCCCAGCCGTCATCCACGCCATGGCAGAGTCCAAAATTCCCGTGACCTCGGTCGATGCTCCATCGTCGTGGGATATCGAAGAGGGCCCTCCCAAGTCCGGTGTCGGCAGCAACTTCCACCCTGATTTCCTGATCAGTCTGACGGCACCGAAACCTCTGATCAAGCACTTCAAGGGCCGTCACTTCATTGGGGGCCGGTACGTACTGCGCTCGAGGTCCTTCTCCTCCCCAGTGTCTTTTCTGATGGTCCCGCTGTAGGTTCGTCGCGCCCGGAATTGCGAAGAAGTATGGCTTTGATGTTCCGGCGTATGAGGGAGTCGATCAGATTGTCGAAGTCGGCCCTGAAGAGTTGAAGCTGTGATGCGGCGGCGGTGGTTTGTCGGGTCCGGTCCGATCCTTCTTCCCTTTCTTCTATTGCTACATCATGGCACACCCGCCGCCCGGACTGTTTGGGCAGATTCGGCTCGAGCAACCTCCCTCTTCCATGGCAATGCGGACGACAACTGTGCCCTTGAGGCAGATCACCAGCGGCGGGTGAAAGTCCTTGCACAACTCGACATAGGTCAGAAAGTCTTTCCCGCAAGCTGGGCATGGAGTGCTGTGGTACTCCGTGCACATGAACGACGGCGGACCAGAGGTATGCGGCAAGGTCTCAAGGTTGGTGATGCTGGTGGTTCTCGTTGTCTAGGACCGTCAGACGACATGGGGCTGCGGCTGAGTGTATCGGTGTGTGTGTTGTCCGGCTGTGGCTTGAGCGTATATAGTGCTTTGGAGTGGCTGACTGCGTGACGGCAAACCAGCTATCGTGTCGTGCGTTGGGACCAAAGGAGCTAGCAGTTAACTCAACCTCCCGCGGGCGGTGTCTGTTCAACGGGTGACCTGTGATATGGCTCGCTAAGACGGGCTTGGAACTGCCGAATCGGTGCGTATTGCCACTGCAGTCGAGCCCGTGTGAATGACCGAGGTGCAAGCTGGTAACACGGCGGCCTAGCAGGTGCTGCAGCGGCGAACCATTGTGGCACCTCCAGACCGGCTCTGAAGAGGAAAAGATTGCTGGCAACGGGAAGACTAAGTGCAGTCATTTTCTTCAACATGCAAAAGCGGTATATTCGGAAAACGGGCAATCCGCAGCGAGCTTCGCTACCTGAATCTTCCCAGCACGACAGCGCCCCGAACATGTGGTACTTTGAGCGCCTGCACCGAAAAAAGGACCATTTGCTCCGGCGGCCTCTGATAGGCTGGCTCAGAGCGTGAGGGTCCTCTTTCAAGCTCCCTCGCAGAATGCCGACGTCCAGGAACAAGGACAACCGTGTCGAACTCGAGCTCTGGTCCGTTTGCAGCAGCGGAGAGATTATTGGTGGCTCGCCAAGGGATCAACTGTGGCTCGGGAGCTTGGTGCTCGCTTGGTGATGAGGCGAGAATAAACCAAGAAATTGTAGGTACCGAGCCGGTATCTTCTATACCTGACCTGGATTCGAAGCTCAGTTGTGCTTGGATGCAGATCGCCAGAAACCTGGAATGTCCCATGGCAGATTAGGAAAGCAAGGGTTCAACCTCTTTGGCCTAGTCGGAAAGCCTCAGGGTCCTTCCCTCCCATGTCGCACATGCACGCGGGCACTACCCGGCAGGGCACCCGCACCTCCCAGTGAGCCCTGCAAGGCTCTGCCTTCCATCTCATCTTTCAGGCTGCGTTCTCGCGATCAATTCAGCAAGCTGGCCATTGCCCGGCATCCCCTCGCATTTCGCAACCGATCCCCCATTCGACGCAAAAGGCAAGGGCTTCCGGCGTCTAGTGGTCTATTTGGCGGTCACCTGTTTCCTGATCCACTTAGCAAAATGCGTTCTCTTGTCGTAAGAAGACCAAATTGACCTTCGAAAGCCACTTGGCCAGTACCTTGGTTTTGGCTGGACCCCTCATCGGCTGTGTGGCGTTACGCTTCCGCTCCTTCCCCTCTCCCAACGCGCCCCGCTTCACCTGCCCCGCGCTACTGGGCCCATCAGATCAGGGACGGAATCAAATCGGTCTAGATCCCACCCGCCTGCGCGCCTCACTGATAGCCATACATGAAACGCAATAGAAACGGATATAGCGTCTTCAGCTGAATCTAGCATTCACGAATGAACAGATTCCGGTCCAGCGTCCGATCCTCACGAGATCTGAAACTGCTGTTGATCTTGGAACTTGAGCAATCTCTTCGGACTTCCACCCGGCCTCGGCCGGCAAAACCCACCAGGAACCGGTCTCGCGGGTCATTGGCGGGGCTAACGTTATTCGTATGAGCACCCCCCACTCAATCGCTGGACTGATGCAAACGCTCGCCCACGCGAGTGCCGCTCAAGCAAACCAGAAACGGCTGGCACCTCATGGCTGCAAGTACTTGTGCTGTACACAACGAATGACCGCCGTCTGTATCACACACAACACTAAGCATTATCAACCGAGCCTCACGGATCTGGCGCAGAACCCTGAAATTCGGCAATGCACGCCAAACCATGATCTCTGCGGCTTGGCCCCACGAAACGTTTATTTTTCCAAGTTCAGTAAACACAAAACTGCACTAGCAGGATACTTTCCTTGAAGCAAGCAATGGAGAAATCGACGTCATTGCCCCCATACCTCGTAACAAACAAGTCGCCGACTCGGTGGGCCCTTCAAAAGCTGTGAGTGGACGACGAAACGAGTGCAATCAGTCGAAATGCGAAAAGTAGCCGAGTGTGGCTTGTAACGAGTGTGGTTGGTCAGGTAAGCCCGGGACACTCGCCACAGTTGCTGCTGCCTAATGGCCCCAGCCACTCTCTGTGTACTTCCGTACATGGACGACCAACCCGCTGCTTGGCGATCTCGGGAAGGTCACGTTACTGTAAAATACACTTCCGGACTGCAATTCTGTACTCCATACGTCACATGCTGTTTCAAGGTCGCAGACCGGCGATCAACGGCCTTACCCATTGATCGGCAAGTGCGATGGGATTGCCATGACGAGTCCTTCGCCACAATGGTTCGTTTGACGCTTCAGCCTCAGCCAGCCGCAATACGCTTGTTGTTCGTGATGCAAGAAGCCCGATAAGTCATTGCGCAGATTGCCTACTGTAACCGGCCCATTCCCCATCCTGATGAAAGGGCAACCGAAACCTCTACGATCCGTACCTTTAACCCATCAACTCGGAGTCGCCGCCGTCAACCATCTCTCTATCTCGTGACATGTCCTAACGAATAAGGTGCTTGCTAGGTATTGTACGTACCGCTCAGAAGGTGGTAACTGGCGGATGTGCTGCTATGCTCCGAGTTGAGCAGTTCACTTGAGCTCTTTAGATCTTCCCTCAATTTGTGCACTGTGCCTTTTGTCGTAGTTAAGCAGAGTTGAATTCCAAAGTCATCATACCATCACACCAACTAGCCTGCCCGGCTAGCTCAATCGGTAGAGCGTGAGACTCTTATTCAGGGTTCATCTCAAGGTTGTGGGTTCGACCCCCACGTCGGGCTCAAATCCCGGCAGCGATGCCTTCAATTTTTCACTTTTTCCCATCAGTGCTTCATTTATTCTTCCCCCACTTCCACGTTCCCTTCCACATGCTTTTCTTCTGCCAGCCACAGAGGGTTTTGATCGAGTTAGCTGGGCAGATTTATAAGCGCTAGCCTTATATGTATAATCTAGAGAAAGTGCTTTCGAGCTTGGATAACCTTTATACACTGATATGTCACGGGAAGTGACAGTGTGAGGTTTATGTGCGCAACTCCTGGTTCGACTGGACAGTTCGAACCACAATCCCTCTTTTGAGGGTGTTACGCAGTGGTCAGTTGCGCCGACCCGTGACAAATATCCCGGAACTCGCGAACTTGCACTGTACAATCCTAGGACTTCCAATACTATACAACTCCCGAGAAGCCGATTCGCAGTTAATACTTATTAAGACTCGCATTACTAATCATCAGAATAGCTCTCCGATGTCATTGTTGAGCTGCTGTGACCCAGCTTACTTTATGACGGCAGTGGGGGCTGCCGTCAACAGTACATTAGCTACCTCAGAGTTTCAGGTGGTTAGACTTGAAATCCTGGCATCCCTTTCAGGAGGTTAGTGCAATGGCATGGTGGTTCCGTCGCACTCGCCGTCACATTACTGAGGGTATGATGGCTGCGATGCACGAAATGGCTCTCCTCCCTATAGAGAACGCTGTACTTCATAAGGCCAACGAGGTACTAAGAAAGCACCGGAGAGCGAAGAAAATACGTATGCAATTCGGAGAATCACTTACTTTGTAAGATGGAAGGATCTTTCAGACAAGAAGGCTGTAAGTGGGGAGAAAGTTCAAATACGTTACAGTAGTTCTAATCCAATCCACTGTTGACCTGCAGGACTGGCTGAACCAAGCCCTGCGGACCGACGACGCCGACCTGCTCGAATCGTGCCTCCAGACGACCGACGATAAAATAATAGAGAACACCATCAACCGCATGGACTCGTCGCTCGCGGCCGTGCTGCTGTCCAAGCTCTCGGCGCGCATGCACCGCCGGCGGCGGTGCGCAAGGAATGCCACGGCGCGGCTTGTCACTGACATGCTGCGATAAGCTCTCGATCAACGGATTGTTGCGTCTCGGCATCTCGGATGCCAGCGAGATACTCTTGTCTCCAGTCGGGCATGGTTTTCTATAAAAAACAGATTCAGTACCCAGATGGAAAACAAACAGGAAGAATCTGAAAGTGCCGCGGGTAGAACACGAGCTCCTTGGTGCGAGGTTGGAGGTGCCATTTCAGGATGCTGTTTCCAAGTTGATGTGCGTCTAGACACTCCAAACGCCACTTGAGTTGAGCCCTTCATCAGCGAGGTAACAGCGAACGTGACGGTTATGTGATTTCTTACGATAGTAAGATATTGATACACTGGCGTTTAGAGGCAGGGTTGGTCAGCCAAGAAAAATGCGACGTTAATAACCCTGGATGGCACTGCTGTTCGTTCGGATAACTAGGGATTCTAAAAGAACTGGTCTTGCTTCTTCAGATGCTCGGTTTAATGCGTTGACCAGAACCTGCTCTGGACACTCCATTTCGAGGGCTAACCTGGAATCGTTGGTAAAATCGCATTCGAACAGCAGGCATTGCGCCAGTTGCTGTTCTAGCTTCGCTCGCAGGTCCTTAAAAGTTGACTCCTTCCGCCCGACTTCGCTCAGGCAGTGTATGACTAGGCGCTGATGCGTAGCGCAACATCTGCGCGTCAGTCTTGATAGCCGCTTTGCAAACACACACTACGAGATCACCGGCCCTAGATCGAATCGAGAAATACGCGAGCTCCTGATTGAATACCCGAGACGCCGCAAGGGGCCAGATATTGACCGGCTGGACAATCGACCGCCAATTCTCCAAAGCGCCTCGAGAACAGCATGTTGGGACGATAAATCTCGCCCGACCTTTGAAAAAATGATGGCAGACACGCTGCACAACGCACCCATTGTGCTGGACAACGGGTCCGGCACCATACGGGCTGGTTTCGCTGGCGCGCGGGAACAGGCGCGAGGCGAAGTAAGTGTTTCCCGGTCCCGCGCCGGTTCCCGTGCGGGGGGGTTGGGCGGATGAGTTGTTGGGCAAGAAATGCAGCTGGATGGTGTTGGTGTAGGGGGAGCTCGTACGAAGGTTCAGTGCTGTAGTACGTGTGGCAAACCTGGCTATAATGCACGCACGTATCAGGAAGTCGTAGAATCATCTACTTAGCTGTTTCTAATGGGACTATAGTTGGTTCATAGTGTTGATGTATTATAATTGAAGATAGTCGTTGTTAGGTAGTGAAAGAGTGGCCGCCTCACTTATTCAGCCGGCTCGCTTATTATATACGAGGCCTGGAGAGAGAGGTGGCTCAAGGAACGAGACGGCCGGACAGCAACGAGGCCCGCAGATGACCTTGA